GATGTGTGACCAAACTGCATCATCCTGACAATGGAGAACTGCGTTGCACAATCCAATTTTCCGACCATATTGAACAACCACAAGGGACCAAATCCTTTTGTTTCCCAAGGCAAGGGTCCTGCAAAATTGACTTTGAGAAGCCCAGTCATAATCGGCGGCGTTTCGGGAGCCTGCAATCGAGTGGTATGACACCCTGCCATTTGCTTGGGAAATCCGCCGACGCTAGATGGCAGTCCGCAACTTGGTCTTCCTTCGGAATCTCTTATCAAAGCCGAAGGCTTTTGGGACTGCTATTTTTGGGCATGCTGCGCTAGGTGTCCAAAACCCTGCATTTTTCCAGTTTTTTGGGTCTTTCGTGCTAAACATCTGCGTTTCGCCTAGGTCTCTAGGGGGGGGGGGGTTCCCCCGGACGCGCCGGATCTGCATCCCCAGCATCATCAGGATTATCTTGTTGCCATGAATTTGTCTCTTTTTTTGCAGATGCTAGTGGTGTTTTGTTTCAAGCGATGTTGGAATTGGCCTGTTGGGGGTTTGGGTGGGGCGAAGTGCAGTGATACTTTGAGGGACTGAGTGTTTTTTGTAATTCCCCACCTGTACGGAGCAGTTACTACGAAACATCCCCTGCATTATCGTGCTTTTGGAAGTCTATTTTTAGGGTATTTGAGGGGGGTTGCTAGTATCGGTTTTTGATGGTTGCTTTTTTGGAAATATCGAAAAGCCCTGGTTTTTTGCACCTTTTTGTGGCTAGCCGGCTGCATTCCTAGCATTCCCCATATCTCTGGTATTTTCTGTGTTTGGTCAATGTTGCGTGTCTGAAAATCTTAAAATCTTGAGCGCGAAGATTGGGTCTGTTCCTGTAAGTTGCGTGGCTGCATCCCTTGCATTTCCAGCATCCTCACCATCTGGGACAAAAAAAACAGGAAAGTGCCAAGAAGGCCTAAAAAGATTGGGGCCTTGCTTTTATACCCTTTCGGGGGGTGGTTTAAAGAGGAGACCCTAGTGTTTCTCCTGTCACGTGTTCAGCCCTGCGGCCGAAGTCAGAGCGGCGTTCTTTGCATTCTCGTTAAGAGCACAAAAAAAACATCTTTTTCCTTACCCCGGCACCCTCTCCTTCCACGTGTTCAGAGCCCCATGTGACCTAGGCAAACAACCGTCTTTTTCCTTACCCCAAATTCAAGGCACCTCAGAGGGGCGTTGTTTGTTCTCCTTCCACGCGTTAAGACTCCCGTGTGCCCCAAATTCAAAGTACTTTGCAGCCGACGTCAGAGGGGCGTTGTTTGTTCTCCTTCCAGGCGTTAAGAGACCCATGTGACCTAGGCAAAAAACGTCTTTTTCTTACCCCAAATTCGAGGCACTCTGCAGCCGACGGCACAGGGGCGTTGTTTGTTCCCCCTCAACACGTTAAGAGCCCGATGTGACCTAGGCAAAAAGACGTCTTGCTCCCGGCACCCTGCAGCCGACGTCAGAGGGGCGCTGTTTGTGTTCTCCTTCCACACGTTAAGAGCCCCATTTGACCAAGCAAAAAAACGTCCTTTTCCTTACCCCAAATTCGAGGCACTCTGCAGCCGACGGCACAGTGCGTTGTTTGTTCTCCCTCAACACGTTAAGAGCCCGATGTGACCTAGGCAAAAAGACGTCTTGCTCCCGGCCCCAAATTCGAGGCACCCTGCAGCCAACGTCAGAGGGGCGTTGTTTGCATTCTCCTTCCACGCATTAAGAGCCCCACGCGCCCTAGGCAAAAAAGACGTCTTTTTCCTTACCCCAAATTTGAAGCACCCCGTAGCGATTTCAATAATCCCAAGCCAAAACAACAAGCTCTCCGCAACGAGTTGGTAATCTCACGACACACACCAGAACCCTCAGTGCAGTACTCCTGATTCAAAATACGGTTGTTTCCCATCCCCTGACTACTTTAGCTAGCACCTGGGGGAGTTTCCATGGTATCACACAGAAAGTGGCGTGGTACCAGTTCAGTCACTCATTGCCCTGACTTGCGACTGTCCTATTGAAAGTCAAAGCAAGGTCGCGCCAAACACGACCTTGGAAGGCCATTTGCACTGCAAACTAGATTTGGCTGTCTTTCCTATCACTGTGTCTTTGGAAGCCCGCTTTTCTTTTGCTGGGAAGGGGGGGGGGGCAATTGGAGACGAACGCATTTTGAATCGGCAAAAACCCATTGCGAGCCCTTCTGCTTGTGACTTGTGTGTACCCCTTACTCCAAATACCCACCTTTTTCTTAACGGTACATTGGGGAAAAACCTGGTTTCCCTGAGTAAATACTTCCCTTTTCAGAGGCGTTCAAAGGTGAGTTGGAGGCAAACCATCCCTCGTGTTTCTGGAGCACAGGGAATGGATAGCTCAAATGTGTAAAACCCATGGCTCGGAATGAATCATGACACCCATGAACTCGCTGAGACAAGTCTGACAAAGGGCCCAAAATTCACGAGTCAAAGCGACCGCAGGTGTTTGTCCTTGTCTCCATCTACCAGGGCACCTATTTTTTGGCAGGCATGGGACGGGGATGCTTCGCTTGACGCTATGGCCAAACTTTTGAACCTTGGAGTTACCATGCAAAGCTGGGCGTTGCGGAACGATTTGGGTGATCTTTTGGAGTATCCCTTCCCGGGTTTCAGGGGAAACAATCAGGAAAGTCACTGTTGGGGCCTCCCTAGTTTGACACATACTCATAAGGCACATTTGGAATGCTCAGCTGTCGGGCATGGCACAACAGGATTCGTTGCTCTCAAATTGGAGCCCCTGCCAAAGCTGGACCGTGGGCTATGGGATCACCTACCCTCCCACCAGCTAACATGGAAGTGCACACCTGTGTGGAAAGACTGCTTTCCTCTTGGAAAGGGCCTTTTGGCACTTCCATGTCAGTTGGTGGGAGGGTAGCTGGGTAGCTGGGCCAACTCTCAGCTCGCCTCCTCACGGGGCACATGGATGCCAGCAGCGCAAGGCTCCTGACAACGCGGCCAGCGGATTTTGCTGGCGAAGACGTGGACATCGCCCCCCCGTTTTTGGGTCGTCACAGTCAAAACCGGGCAACCCAAAACTACTTCTGGACGCAATCCGGCCTGCTCTGAATCAGAGTGTGAACCCTAGCCCTCCCCCTCCCCCTATTTCACAAAATGACATGTATGGCCTTTGGAGTGATCCAGGAGGGAGAGTTAGGGGAGAAAGGGGTTGGATATGAACGTTGGTCACCCGCCTGCCTATCCACGCTGCCTTCGGCTGAGGGGCCTTCCTGAGCAAACTGCCAGCATGCCTTCTGCTTTGACTATGTGACTTTTGCATTTCTGCAGATTCCAACTGCATTTCTGCATATTCCGACTGCAGGAAGTAAAATTTAACCAGCCCTTTGCACACGCCATATTTCCGCGGGATCCGACCTTCTTGCAGGACCGAGCCCGCGCAAATCCCGAGGCGATGTCGCGTCCAAATCGGCCCAGGCGCACCCACTGGTTGAACAGGGATCCTCAACATGAAAAACACCTGAACATTGCAACTTGTAAATGGTGGTTTCCAACTATATTTTGGTGTTGAAAAAGCCACATGTTTCAAATGGTTGCAAAATGTATCTTTTAACCTGTTGGAGTCACGGAAAATGGTGGCCCAAGCGCCTTTTTCCAGCAACCCCCGATACATTTTCCCCAATCTGCGTGGACCTGAATTGCGACTTCAAGAAGTGAATAAGGTTCCTGGCGGTGGTTCCTTCGTGGTTCTCTTTGCTTCCTGCTTCTCAGCATTGAACATTCTGGAATCACATTCGTTTCCCAGACAATCCAACGAAAACCATTCCTCTGGCCCATTTCCCTACCTAATACCAGCAAGGCATATTTTGGGTTTTCAGATTCTTGTGGGGCGCTTTCTTCGGGGAAAAAAAAAACGACGTCCGCCGTCCACGCCGGGCTCCCCAGCGGCGTCGTCGGGCTGCTGCATGGCTGGGCCCCCGAACTTGTCCCGAGCCCCGGGGGGCGGCGGCTCCTCGAGCGGGGCGCGGGGCGGCCGAAGCGACCAAAGGAAAACCCTTCAAACCGACCCGTTCTGGGCGCATCTGTTACCAAAACGGACCCGTTCTTGGCGTTTGTTCCTCTCTTCTTTGACAAAAAGAGAACCCCCCCTTTTGGTTTGAAAAGAAAAACAAAGGGCAAACACATAAGGGGTTACTACTTCTGGGACGAACTCTTTTGGGACCTTCCATAGTTGAAGATGTCGACAACCTGTTGTTATCATCATTTCACGGAGCTCGAGGAGAAGTTCCCGGGAAATTTTGGGAGCAGGCCGGATATCCTCTGTCCCAGCGGCTTTCCATTTCAAGGAAAATACTTGGTGCGCATCTTAAACCAACCTGGAGGGAGGGGATATGGAAACCTGGAAACGCTTCCGGTTTAACCCGGGTCCCTGTAAAACACGTTAAACACATCAGCGCGGGAAGTCACCTCAAATGGGAAGATGTTTGAAACCAGGGAAACCGAGGGATTTCTAAATGGGTAACTTGCGGGAAGCCCGGTAGAAACCACGGCGGAGAGTCATGGAAGCCAGCAACAGTCTTCAGCCCAATAGCACCAGCGGGTCCAAAATCAAAGCAGCCAACGGGTTGTGGGTGGTACATGGTATGGTGGTTATGATCAGGGTTTCTTTCCACTTACCAAGTATCCTGCCCCTAAAAGTATGAACTCCAAATAATAGGAAATGGATTCTTTGGTGCACATATGCGCCATGGTTAACAATCCAGGCTATGGTCATTGTTCCCTAGCGTTGTCTAAGTCCTGCGGCTGACAGTCCCTATCAACCCTTCTCGGAGACTGTATGTCCACCGATGTTTCACTTGTGCCAACCATGGAAACCTGCTGTTGACCCCTGGACTTGTTGACACTTGGATTTAGTTGCGCAAGTCTACTAGGTCCGCCAGTAGAGAGGTTAGAATAAGGGTACCCTTTTTTCTGTAGTCTATCTTAGTAGGGGAACCCCCAAAAAAGAAACGGTACAAGGGCAATACTGGCAGGACCTAGTCTATGAATCAAGGAGGGTTTCTGACCCCCAGAACTCGCAGCTCCCTCGTGGCTCACCGGCCTGGCCCCAGAAACCCGCCTCTTCGTAGATAGGGTCGGGGCCATCGTCCAGGTCGTCTTCGTCAAATGAAGAACCTGCAGCGAGCCCTCAGTGACTCAGCAGATGCCTCACTCGTTCTTTGACAATGTTGTGGCGCAGCACAAAACCTGGCGCAAGTTCCGCTTGTTTCAATATTCTGCCAGGACTTGCAGTGCGATACAGGTTTGGCAAGCAACCATGCTGTAGAAGTGATTGCTTGCATGCCAGCTGGAAGAGGTCAGCGGCGAAGCCATATTGCCAAAGCACCGCTTGCTGCGCCGCGTTCAGACATGTTCAGACTAGCTTTGGACCTACGAGTGCGGCAGTCCAAGGACACTATGTATGCATTTGACGTGTAGTCTACGAAGCGCGCGCAGTTTACACGCGGTTTCCATATAATCTAAGTTATTCTCGGCAAGTGCATAATGCATATAAAGAGTGTGCCTGTGCTTTTCATGGAGTATTTGTTTACAAAGCAGGAGTCGCAATGGGGAATACATTTCCCCATAAAGCGGGAGTAGCAATATAGAATTGAACATACCAAGGTTTTGAAACCCTGCAGAAGGTCCGGCAGCAAATTCCCCCTAAGCCAAACAAATTGTCTAAATGCCTTGTTCCCCCTACACTAGAGGACATGGACAAATGAGTGAGTTCTATGAGAAGTTCTATGTTAGACAAATCAGAAAATGATGGCCAAACCTGTCCAAATATATGTGGACCCGTTAGAGCCGTACCTCCAAACTCAATGGTTTTCCATTGGTTTCCCTTTGGTTTCCCACCCAAGAAGGGCAGCCTCAAACACAGGAACCAGACCCAAGGGGACTGGCTTATAAGACGCACCACCCCTCTTTAGTCAAAACTAGCGGGAGATCTGGCGGCAGCGACACCAACAACGTCAAACACTTGGGGATCCCAGCCAGTTTTCACGAAGGCGAAGAAGCGCGCCTGCAGAAAGGCAACCCCCACTAAACCGCCTCATGTCAACTCTAGACTGATCAAAGGGAGCAACCAACCAACCAACCAACCAACCAACCAACCAACCAACCAACCAACCAACCAACCAACCAACCAACCAACCAACCAACCTGAGAAAATCAGAGACTAATCTCTTCTAATCAACCGAGGCAGCAAATGCACTGCTTCTCACTTGAGCCATGCTTGAGCCATGCAATTGTAATCAGCATGAACTACGTCTACGTGGGAACGCATGGTGTACTTTCGCACGCCCCCTTGGATTAATGGAAAAAGTGGAATTTATCCACACTCCACTTGCACAAACGCATTCCAAAGAATGCCAAGCTGCCTTGAAATCTTTGCGCTCTGCAAAATGTCTATGCAAAACGGGTGACCTAATCACCACCAGAAGACTTGCAATGCTGGGAAATGCAAAAGGACAAGTGGTTGAATGTATTGTGGATTCAATCCACACACAGAATGTATTCCAAGAGTATCGCCTCCAGAATCACCAGAAAACGTCCTGTCAATGTATTGGTGTCATAGATGAATCCAAGCCAAAAGCAAACTGCCATCTAAAGAAATGTCTCCACACAAATGCCGAAAACTGAAGCAAAAATGAAGCGGCAAACCGAACCAGGCAGATCGCGATATCCGATGAACATAGAGTCTCCATGCAAATATAGTGTAGAATGCATGCATCCAAAAAACTGCATCCAAATCGGTGCGTGGCCAGACTCCACCAATGCTGAATCATAGCCTTGCTCTGTAATATGAATCTACCAGTGACCCATGATTGTCTAACGAAGTCTTCCATCGAACATCTGGTAATCCCGGTACCAAAGAAAATTGCTTTGCTGACTTCTCCAATCTGGACCCGGATCCTGAATCCAGCCATGCAAATCTCCTGCATCGCCAAGCTTTCTCTCAAATCCCAAACGCAGCCCGTCAAGTGAATGATGAGGTCAATGTGGGGCCTCACAAATACGTGAGTAAATGATTTTTCATGAAATCAAGAAATCGCTGCGAATGTGGACTGAATCCAATCATTACTTGGGTGTCCGCCAAATACTGAATCAATCCGTTCTTTGAATCACCCTCTGGTGCAAACGATCTGAATGAATACAGAAAGAATAGCAAAGACGAACGCGGACTCAAATGGAATCCAGTAAGCTGACTGTTCCAGAAACCATGTGAAGCAATGATTGCACATGTTTTCTTTATAGCCTCAGGAATGTTACTGTGACACGGCCCCCAAAAATCATCTTCAAATGAATCCACATAGTTGAAGGCATAGTGAAATACAGCATGAATGGCCACATGCGTGATTTCAGCTGTTGCCAATTCCTCTCAAGCCTCAGCGCGCATTGCAGCCACAAATGCCGCCCGAATGGAGTAGGCCATACTCCCAATCGCAATGTTGGGAATGACCCTGAACAAAATCTTCATACCTCCGCGAATAGGCTCATGAAAATGAAACCCTCGAACCCAAATTGCTCCTGCTGTTGGCCGCAGAACAGAATCTACCACAGCATCGTGGCCGAAATGAATGCCTTGTACTCCGAGAAATTCACTCGTTCCTTCCGCAAACCTCTTGCGAGAACCCGGTGGGAATAATGTCGCGCCAAGTTCCGGAATGCGGGCTGTCCATCGCATCGGTCGATGGAAATGCACACGGAAATGTCAGAGAGCAAAAGAAATGTCGCAGTCATGCATACAATGCCCAGGGTCCGGGATCAACTTTTTCTTAATAACCCTATCAAGATCAGTATTTTGCAAGATTGATCTCGCGAGTTTTGAGCATGTTTAACATGAAGGAGGGTGTTACTGAGTATCAATATTCCCCCTTGAAAAGACTCATTTACAGATCAATCTTCTGCGCTAGTTGCATTGATATTTCCAGCGCTTCATCAGGCCTGGGCTCATGGCTTGGCGCTGCGCCTTCCTTGACATTTTAGGCAATCCAACCAATCTTCTCCACACATGGTCAATGGCTGTCCTGTGACACTCTTCAATGGGCAATTTCTATTTAATGGAAGCAGTGGCCATTGTTCACAAGTCTGGCAGGCAGCAATGATCATGAGCAGACGCTCCTGAATCAAACAGAATCCACGGAGTGGGCTCATCAACTGCTGCCATCAACTGTTCACATCCAAGCCGCAATCCTTCAGAGTGGTCACGGAATGAAACGAATCCTTCACTGGGGTTGGCTCATGGCATGCTATCCAATCCAGTTTCCAAGCAATACATCCACTGCAACGATCTTTCATGCTCTCCAAATGTCATCCAACTCTCACCTTTGTGAGACGAACTGCCATGGCAGGCAGAAAGACAAGAACCCGCAATCAAACAGGATGATGCCTTCGGCTTGGTCTTTGGCCGAATGGCAGCTGAGCCAATGTTTGGACTCAATCCCGGTGGCGCCTGTGTCACTGCTCCAATAGTTCCCTGCTGTGAATCTTTTGCTGGAGATGGTCCTGCCGATGGAGGCGCGGCAGAATCGCAGCCAACAGCAAAAAAACAGTCTGACTGACCTGAAACCAATCGCAAGGGTGGTCCCAAGAGTTCACAGAATCCCATGATCCCTTTCCCTTGGCGCCTTTTCCTTGAATCCTTTCAGCGCCCCAATGTCCATGGAGCTGGTCCTTGGCTGCCATTCCCTACGAATGTGCCTGGAATGGTGGTACTGCAAAATAACAATGCCAAAGCATTGGGCCTCAAACGCTGTTGCAATGGGCCTGTTGTCTTGTTCAAGAGGGTAGCCACCAGCATGCTATCAGGAATGGCTTGGCCGGTTTGAGATTCATATCTGGCCTTAATGGTCTCCCAAATGTTAAAATCGTGTTCAGATGTGTTGGAGTCAAACTTGAAATCCAAAATCTGGCTGAGCAAACTCGCGTGCCGTGTTGCACCTGGCAATGCGAATTTGGAATAATCTCTCCCAGGTTTCATCCCATTGCAGCCAGCGCTCTGCCTGACTACCAGCCTTTCTGAGTCGCTGCGCACATTTGCTAACAAATCATGCAGCCTTCGAAAATTCTGAACCCAAGTTTCTCTAAAGTCTCCTGAATCTTCGAGCTCCGCTACCATGGGAAAATCAGAGACTAATCTCTGCTAATCAACCAAGGCAGCAAATGCACTGTTTCTCACTTAAGCCATGCAATGGTAATCAGCATGAATCACATCCAAGTGGGAATGCATCGTGTACTTTCGCACAACCAACCAACCAACCAACCAACCAAGCAAGCAAGCAAGCAACCAAGCAAGCAAGCAAGCAAGCAACCAACTAACCAACCAACTGCCACAGCAAAAGTGGTCACGACTATGGTGAAGCCTGAGGGGAACCAAAGGAAACACCTAGAACCTCCGCGCGGCCAAAAGAAAGGCAGTTTCTTGAATCCGGCGGATTTGTTCAGCCACATTTCAACAACACCGCCGGCGCTTGTGAAGAGTTTGCCTGTGTGACAAAGGCCGCGTTAGAGGGTTTCAGCCGTTGCACGGGAAAACGCGCCTTGACCAGTCTCCCGCTAGTTTCTCATGGCTTCAAAGTGCAGGATTTCGTCCATCCATAGTATTTCGGGAAATCACATGAAACATGGGGTCGCTGGGTTCCCCTCAACTTGGAATTGGCTGGGGTCCCAGGACTCTCTGCTACCTTGGGGGGGCGGGGCATTCTTCGATGGATCCCTCAACAAGGAAAGTTTCTCACTTGTGTAGTCAATAGTTCTCTGCTGCAGGTCCCAAAATTGGACAAACAATGAGAACCCACCCCCTCCTTCAGTTCCGCTTGAACAAATGCCGTGCCTTAAGAATTTCTAGGTTCCCCCGGAGGAAAACAACAGCGACGGGGCGTCCAACTGAACCGACCAAAAGTTCATCGTGCACCCGCTTCGCAGAGCGCTTGCGCCTTGTCCCGCAGCGCAGGCCTCTTCGGAGGACCCGAAAGCGGGTCATAGGCCACAAAGGCTGCATGGAAGCCAAAAGGATCTGCAAGCATTGTGAGTCATTAACATCTTATCGTGTGTCATACTGTTTTAATTGTGGTTCCTATTTTCTGTTGTGGTAAGGGCAGCGTAGAAAGCATTTGCTGCTTCGTTGTCTTGTGGCAAAACAGATCAGAATCACCAAGTTTTTGCCTCGCGACCCAACAACCAGCCAGGTAGGTAGGGACCCACAACCCGCTGACACTCATTCCTACGCTAGTCGTTGCCATGCAGTTCCATCCAGGAAACGGCTGAGACACAGGAGGGCCAAGAAGGCCCAGAGAGCCATGCGGAAGGTTTGGCCAGGCTGCACATGAGCCTGAAAGCCCCCAACAAGAGAGGTCTCACCAAAACCCCGGCTCCTTCCGTGGAGAGTGAGCAGTGTTGGTTCCTGTTCAACCACCGACTTGACATTTTTGCGAGAACGGCGAGGCAAGGAGGCCAAATGAACAGGTTGGTGTAACAAAAGGTGCCACAAGGCAAAGCCGAAGTGGAAAAGTAACACCCAAAACATTAAAAAAATGAACACCCAACCTTCAACATCACTCAGGAAGGAACCTCACCTGCAATTGGACCTTCCAACAAATGCCTAAAAGACCAAGGGAGATCTGAGAACCATTCACCCCCCCCCCCCCAAAAAAAACAAAACTTTGACCCTAAAGCCATGTGATTTCTTGGCCACAGGGTTTGCGCTGGGACCATGTCCTTCATAAACCCTTCTACCGATACCTTTCCGGGGTCTTGAATGCAGGGGGGTGTAGCCCGATGAATCAAACTCCGGGGCCCAACTTGTTTCAGTTTCCTTGAATTCAGGACTTCAGCCCCGTAATTTCGGGAATCAAACAGTGCCAAGCTGAAAAGCCTATGGCTCCCCAATCGTGGACATTACCCCTTGCGACACCAAAGTGGAACAAATGTTCCCGTCTCTGCTTTACTTGCAAAGAGGTTCCCTCCAAAACTCGTAGCCTCAGGCAAGCGGCTTTCACAACTATGTCCCCAACTGATTTGAAGCCAAGAGAAATACCGAAACACTCCGACACGCCTGGGGCAGGGCGCCAGGATTGCCAGCAGGCTGGCGGCCAGGTCGGCTTAGAATGGGGTGGGGTGCTTTGATTAACACCAAGCTTATTGCCATGATAGGGGTAAACTGTTAGTAGTTACTTTAGCCGCTTGTATTGTCCCTTCAACTTCCAAATACCCTGTCTCCCACAATCATGGAACGAGGGGCAGGGGCATTTGTATTTTTGAAGTCGAGGACATTCTGGAAGCTGACAGGGTGTGGAAAGCTTACTTTTGCGGATGTCCCCTTCCATGATTGTTGGAAGGGTCAAGCCCTCCTGCAAAATGAACTCGAAACTTAAAGCACCCTTCGAGGAACCTGTTTTGGGGCATCAGATCCCAAATACCTTTCTGGCTTCGCGATTTGCAGAGGTGCATGGGGAGCCCCGAATATTGCGGCTGTTCCTGCTTGTTTCCCTGCAGAAAAAGTCCCAAACCCTCGTTTTCAGGGCTAACGCTAATTGTCTAAGGGTTGCTTTCCCATTCTTTTAGGCATTCCCCAAACATTTCTGCCAAATCAGACCCCCCCCCCCCCCCGGCCTCGTCCAATTGGTCCTGAAGCTATCCCAGCTCGCTGGATCGCGGTCAAGCAAACCCCAAGGACGCAAGAAAATGTTGCGAGTCCTTGTTTTGTGGTTGAAACACATTTCGTATCCCCTGTGTACCCAAATGCACCATAGTCAAGTCAGAGATTTCTGAGCATTTGTGTGTGTGTGTGTGTGCGCATTTTGCAGGGTTCCTTTGATGGGTTGGTTGAAAGGAAATCCAACAACCGAACTAGCTTTGAGGTATTCTGGCACATACCCGTCCCAGAGAGGACATGAGTCCGGGTTTTGTATTGTTGAAGACTAGGGCTGCAATATCTCTAAATGAACCAGACAAATGGGCGAGTCTTAAAATCAGGCACTCCAAACAAATTGTTGGCTGACACAAACAGGGGACCATCAAAACAAGACAAAAAGCAGGAACATTTGAGGGCATCTCAGTAAAATGGCTCTTGGAAGCCGGGCAAAGGGCCTCTGACTGTCTGACCTTTGGGGTGCAGCAGCTCGTGGGAGCCGATTGCAAAACCAAACCAGGAGCCGCTTTCTTATACTCCCCAATGAACATGGCACCAGAAGAAGGGCTCGAGTTGTCGCTATGGTGGTTTGAAGCAAGCGGCGAAGACAAAACGCCACGCCGACTTGCCACGCCGAAGTGCCACCGAAAAAAGGGCCCGTTTTGAACGGTCGAAATGCAGTGAGAGAACCCAGGATTCAGATCCACCTGTTGACTGGGATGGCGTGTTTTTAGATGGATTCCTGTACTTTCAGGACACCCTTCCGGGGGAAAAACTCGCTTTGGGCGGATACACCGGGGGGATGACATGCCAAACCATGAGTCACAATCAAAACCTGGTCTCAAACCGGTCTACCCAAAACATCCCAAAGCCATGTAAAGAACTTCAAAGGGCGCACATGCGCAAACTTTTCTAGTGGGGGTTGTCCCTACCTTTAGCTACCTGGGCCCTCTACTCCGAATTTTTCGGCACAATGTCCAGCAGTTCGGAGATTTGATTGTGACTCCCACAGTCATCCAGGCGCTCCCGGACATCATCACTGTGCTATCGGCAATGTTCACCGGCAGTTGAATTGGTGGTCCTGGGAGCAAAGGCTTTTTGCCTAGGAGGCGAACCAGGGAAGGGACCCCTCCAGGGCTATTAGCTGTTGACCTCTTATTAAGGGCCTTACTGAAATAGCGAATCTTTGGCCAGAAACACCCCCCCACCCCCATAGCGGCACCGTAGCCCCGATGCATGATTTCGGAAGCACCTCTCAGCCGCAAAAAGCACCCGTTGGGAGGTCGAGGTACAGGATGTCGCCCAGGAAGTGGAGAAAAGTGAACAAAGCAGGCTGAGAAAGAAGGAGTCACCCTTCTCTCTCTCTGCTGGCATAAAATGTTGCGGCGCCCAACTCTGGTTTACTTCTGCATGACCGTCCCAGGGTGCAATTGGCAACAAATAAGAGGGAGCCACCAGTGGTTGAGTGGTTGGTGGACATACATGTCCACCGAATTCTGATGTCCACCATTGCGGGTCCGTTTGGACATACAGTATTCACACCCAAATGTTGATTGATTGCGTACACTTCGAGCCCGGAAACTCCTGGATCAACCGCCTGCCCCAGGGGGGAATCAAAATGAGATCTGTGGTATAACAAAAAAGGTAATCTACACAGAAGGGCTGCTTCTCCATGGTTCCCTTCGCAACACCGAGGGTACCCCTCAAAAAAGGAAACACCCATGGACCCCTGCTCCATGCGCTCCCATAAGTGCCAATCGCGGCTCCTCCCCATTTGTCCGTCGCATCCGCGGGTGGCCAGCCAACCGTCTTCTTGTCCTTGCCCTGGCGGCCGTGTGAGTACCTTTCTGCAGCCCTACCTGTCGGTTGGCTTCCGAAGGGTGCCATTCGACAAGATGGACTTCGACCTCGGGATGGTTTTCCCCACTTGGGACACTCGACGGCGGAGAGGATTATACGAGGAATTGAGTTGTCATGCAAGTCCAAAACCTGAAACATGAAATAGGGGTGGCTCATGGTTGCTCCCTTTTTCTGAGGGTACACCTCATATTTGTGTGGTTTTGAACGGACAAGTAAGACCACTATTTGCAATGGGGGGGGTCCCTGAACAAAAGAAACACCTTTAAAAGGATCCCCAACAAAAGGACCAACATCATGGCTTTCACCCCCCCGAATCGGTGGAGTCGTCCGTTGCCAGCTCACTGGCGCACCAAGAAGACCGCATCTGTGATGTATGGTGGTCGCGGCAGGGAAGCGTACGGGTCGTCAGCCTAGGAGCGAGTGTTCTCTTGCGAAGTTCCCCATGATGCCAGTCCCACACTCCAAGTATGCCACTTTGGGTATGATGTCAACCCCAGACGACTAAAACGGAGGTATGTACCAGGGAAAACCAGGTTCTTCCAAATGCGCCCTAAAATTGTGATTATTTGGAATAGGGGGCAGCTTTACTTGACCATTTTGAAATATTTGTGCTTGTTATAAGCGCGACTGCAATCAACCTGAATTGGTCCTCGAGTGGTGTTGCAAAGTTGCACATGAGGGCTCTCAATGGAAAATTCTGACAGGCTCACAAGGCTCACAAGACACTCAAACATTTGGACACACATCACACAATAGGCAAATCACAGGCGCCGCAATCTGAATGTAAGGCCACACACAGGGACACAGGGTCTTGTCCCAGCAAGGGGCTTCACCTGATTATTGCACTGTGCGGCAGGAAGATTCGAGGCGCCCGCCGGATCACTTGTGTCCATGTTCGCAATGTCCTCGTGCACAGGCACTTCGCACCTCCCTCAATGCCATTCAAGCTTCTGTTTTTGCGCCTCTTCTGATGTGTTCCAACGTCTTTCAAGCTCTTTCAGGGCTCATGATACTCCCGACGTTGCATTGAGGAAGGGCTGTTACTTGCCATAAACCTGTGTTTGATCCCTCCAAAAATGCGACAAGCTTCTTCAGACCCTGGTAGAACGCGGCTACGATTTGTGGTTTTTCTGATCCCGCTGGGGAAACAACGTGTTGCAATCACCACCCCCCCCCCCCCCCCCGCCCCTTTGTGGTTTCCCGCTCACTTCCCGTAACGCATTCAGGAATGAAACAACCTCAAATGTAACAAACAAGTCAAATCGGAGACTTTAGCAACCCAGCGCAAGGATAATGCTGTATGGTTTCCTGATGATTTCCCTTCTCCCGTCCAAGAAAGTACATCTCCAATTGTTGGAAACACCGCCCCCTCCGAGAACGCAAAACACGAGAAAAAGGAACATCTCCGATGTTGGAACCTCCTCGAACAGAAACAAGGGCAACAACAGCCAAAAGGCTCATCCATGTTGGGTTGTTGCCGTTCTTCAGTTATGATTTTTTATTGTGGTGGACATGCGTCCCGGAACTCTGATGTCCACCAAAGGGTCCGGGGATTAAAATCCACGCCCATCACTGGGGTGGGAGTGTTTGTTCTGGTGCTTCCTCATTGAAATGTGATTGTTCCAAAAAATGGTGTTTTCTTTCCTGGGGGGTTTCCTCTAAGAATGGGTGGGTGTTTCTTCTGTTTCCTTCAAGAACTGTTGGTTTTCCTTTTAAAATGTGTTCTTGGGGTTCCTCTACAGAGCGGGGGCTGCTTGTTTTCCTCGCCTAAAGCTTTTGCGCCTAGAACTTGGGACCGGAGAAGAAAGCCACAAGGGTGACCCATGTCAGAGGGATCCTTTTGGGAGGGAACACGCCGTTCATCTGACACCCTCTGTTGCGACTGTTCCGGGGCCCTCGATTCTTGTCTGGCTCAGGCTGAACTAAGCCTCCGAAAACATATGGGCCAAGCAAAACTGACAAAGAAGCCGAAGAAGAAAGACGAGCCAACATCCGGGCAAACACAAGGATTTTTGAAGTGGCCCCCAAACCATCAAATTTAAGATAGCTTCACAAAGGGGGTTCCCACCAAGACCCTGATCCTCCTTAATGTGACTGTGTGGGGGTCCTCTTTAGTTTTAGTGTCCAACAGCTTTTTGGGTTGCTGAAACTATTAGACTCAAGCCTTAGCCTTTTACTTTCAAGGTGGTTCGCCTAACCAAGCTCTTCCCAGCTCAAGGGGCCTTGGATCTAGGAAGTTCATTTTGCCAGTGGCCTCCAAACCATCAAATTTAAGAGAACTTCTTTACACAAAAGTATGGGCAAACAGTCACACAAAGGGGGTTGCCCGCCCTGATCCACTTTAATGTGACTGTTTTGGGGTCCTCTTGAATGTCTAACCTTTATCGGGGTTGCTCAAAAAAAAGTTCTTGGCAATACTAAGGTAGAATTGGCGACACTAAAGTAAGTACTGGGAAGCTGGGAGCCACCCTTGGCAACACAAAAGTAGAATTGGCAATACGAACGTAGGTGCGGGCCATACTAATGTAAGTACTGGGAATCTGAGAGTCAGCCTTGGCAATACTAAAGTGAATACTGGGAATCTGAGAGGGGGCCTTGGCAACACTAAAGTCGCATTGGCAACACTAAAGTCAGAACTTGGAAATCTGAGCAATACTACAATAGAATTGGCGACACTCGAGACAGCACTGTCCCTCCCAGACCTCCGATTTTGCCTAAAGAGGGTCCAGCTGACTGGTTCCACTCCCCTAAAGAGAGTCCAACATTGTTATTTTGTCCGGTCCACATTCCTCCCTGACAAGATTTACCTGAATCTTTTTGGCGACATGTCACCGTTGCTAAGAGGTGTCGGCAAAGCAAAAAACGCTTTCGCCGCAAAACAAGCTTGCAAGCCCACAGTGATCAGCCAACCCATGCGCAAGCGGAACGCGATTGATCCTGACAACAGCTCGAGGGAACAGGGCACGCAGGCCCAAAGCAACGATGATAGCTGGGATCTGCTGAAACAAGGATGCAGCATGTCTCACCACTCAAGGATGGCATGAAATGTGTAGCTTATTGCTGGGTTCTTGGTTCGTCTCGAAGCGTGATACGCAATCGCAAGCAAAGCGCGTCTGCTCAGAATAGTTTGGGAGATGACGGGCCGAGGGGCTTGCAGCCTGAAGTGCTCTCCAGCGCTTCAGAACAGACTGCTGCGGTTGTTTCAACATGTCCCCAGACTGACCTCCGGCAGGGGCCAACGTGTCTGCGGCATCGCTCCCGCTGGGCTGCATCTCCACCAAACGTGTATCTGATGATTCCCATTGCGGTCAAACTACGTTACAGGAAGTTCGGAGACATGTGCCCCAAACACAGACTGGTGCAACCAACGCATTAAGCATCATGACCTGACCTAGCGCACCAGTGGTTGGCCTTCTCATGGACGTCTGCGCTGCCCTGCTGAGGTGTGCACGCATCTCTGGGGTTTCCTCCAAAAACTGGAGGGTGTTTTCTCGGGCTTCCTTTAGACATCGGGCCTTTCTGGGGCTTCATCTAAAAATGGGCGCGGTTTTCTGCGATTGGATTTTCTGGTGCTCTAAATTCCCGGGGTTTTCTCTTGACATGGGCACGGTGTTCAAGTTTCTTGTTTCCTCCAAAAACGGGCAGTTGTTTTTGGTGTTTCTCTCAAGAATGGTTGGATTTTCTGGAGTTGCCTCTAAATGTGGGCGAAATGATCTGGGCTGCATTTCAAATGTGCGGGTTTTTGTGTGGTGACTGCGGACCCCGACTCCGTGGAAAGACAGCTGCAAGGTCATGGAGCCGCGCAGGACGTAGTTGCCACATGCGATTTGGATGTTGTTTTGAGGGAAGGGAACACGTCGGAGCAACATGCGTCGACAAGCCTCCCCAAAATTTGCCTTTTGCCTTTTGCCAAGCACATTTTGATCTCAACTCAATCCAGGCTGAAAACTACAGACACTTTCAAAGCTCGTCGAGCTCATACTTTTGTGTGGGTTTTCCTCCAACAAATGTGTGGGTATTTCTGGGATTTCCTCTAAAATTTGGACGGGTATTTCTGAGGTTTCCACTTTTTAATGTATGTGGTTATTTGTGTTTTCTTGGGGATTCCTTGGCAAACAGGTGGGGTGTTCTGGGGTTTCCCTTTAGAAATGGGTGGGTACTTCTGGGCTGTCCTCTAACAAATGGGTGGGTATGTCTGGACTTTCCTTTTAAACAAATAGGTTTTCTGGGCGTCCGTTGTTTCCTCTAGACATTGGCGATATGTTCTGAGACTTTCGGGGGTTTCTTCTAAAAATGGGCGGGTTTTCCGGGGGAAAAATTGGCAGGTCTTTCTTGGGTTCCTCTGCAAATTGGCAGAGTTGTCTGGGGTTTCCTCCAAAAATGGGTGGGTTTTCTGCTGCGTCCTTTGAACATTTGCACGGTTCTCTCGGGTTGCTTTCCAAACATTGGAGTGATTGCTGGGGTTCCCTCCAAACTTGGTTTCTAGGGTTTCCTCTAAAGATTGGAGGGTGTTCTGAGGTTTTCCTCCAAAAATGAGCACGCTTTTCTGGCTTGTCCTCCAAAACATCCTCTAAACCTGTGCTGGATTGTCTGGGATTCCTCTGGGGTCTCTCCTCCAAAATGTGCAGGTTGTTCTGCTCTAATATTTAAAATGATGTTCTGGTGTTTTCTCTAAAACAAGGGCGGAATCGAAATTGTCTGGGGCGTCCTCTGAAAATTGCCGGGAATTTCTGGGGGTTTCCTCTAAACACTGGGTAGGTCTTTCCGAGGTTTCATCTAAACCTATTTTCCTGCAAACAATTGGCCAGCTTTCTCTTAAAATCTTGGCTGGGGACATTCCGGGGTTTCCTTCCAACTTACATCTGCGGCGCTTTTCGTTTCCGGGGCGTTCCTCCGGAAAAACATCGGCGACGAGTCGCTTTCCGGCCGCTCCTTCCGCCCAAAAACCGGGCGCTTTGACCACGGGAGCCGCGCCTCGAAGCTGCGGCCCGTGCGCTTCGCCTCCAAGGCGACCAGCTCCACGGCCCTTCGAATCGACGCCAACTTAGGCGGTGTTCCCCCCCCCCCCCCCCGTGTGGTGGACGCGTAAATTCTACTAGGCCCTCCAGATTTGAGAGGTTAGACTAAGGGTACCAACTTTTGTCCGTAGTCTATTTTAGTAGAACCCTCCCCCAAAAAAGAGTTTCTTCAAATCGACTCTCAGTGTCCTTGGCACACCGCCCCAACTTGGCATAGACCGAAACTTGAAGGGTGCGATTCATATGTTGACACTTACCCAAATGTTTGTGTCCTTTTAAGATTGGACCCCCAACCAAGCTTCGGCGTTCCCTTTGGTTTTCCTTGCAACCCAACCACAAAAGAAGGGCACCCTCAAAAGAAGACAGACCCTACTTAGACCCAGGGAACCACCATAAACCCTGATGATTCGGCTAACATTACACGTTTTGGCGGACCCCCGAACCCCTCCCATGTGTTTATTCTCTCTTTTTGCTTGAGGGGGGTTCTATTTCAAAACCCAAGCTCTGGTGTCATCAAACCCGACAAAAGGGGCGGGGGTTCTATCTCAAAACGACTCGAGGCTCCGTGCCGGGGGCGTGAGACGCCCCCGTGCATGGAAACGCCCTGGTGACCTGTTTGCGGGTTGGTTGAAAAACTTCAACTCGGTTGCTTTCTGCTCCCCTGCTAGAAGTTTATTTTTTAGTGGTTTAATGGAAAACCCATTAGTTGGCAAAAAGTTAAAGTCCTAACATCCAGGCAAAATGCACCTCTGTGAACATGTCCAACCAATATGCGGAAAAATAAAAGATCCAAACAAACCGCAGCCAAGACCCCTGACAGGGGAGGCTCTACGCCAAAACCTAAGCAAGGCGAGAGGCGAAACCGGGGTCTAACAGCCCGGCCCCAAAGCCGCCCGTTTTATATGCGGCAAAGACTTGAACGGGCAGAAACCTGACCCGGCACCGCAAGGGCCCAATCGGATAAGATACCTTAACACCAACTTTGAGTCAATCGTAATTCAGCCATTTGCCCCAAAACCTAAATAACAAATAAATGGAGATGAACCTGTGGGTGGGACTTTCCCCACCTTCAACTCCCTTCTTTTGGGTCTACTCAAGGGGGAAGAAACAAAAGGCTTTTTTGGGGCCAAGTACTTTCTCAAAATCAAATCCCTAAAATGGGTGGGTGCGTTTTGGTTTCCCTTTTAAAGCCCAAAAACGGTCCCCTCCAAAGACACATCCACACACACACACACTTACCCACCCACACACACACACACAGGTCTTTCAGGTCGTGCATCCAAGTCTGATTCAGAGCAGAAAGGGGAGTTGTAGGAAGCTCATGGCCCTTAAGTCAATGGCCCCACATCGTATCCGCAGTCGCACTTGTCCCGTGCCTCTCGTCTGCCTCTTTGGCAGCGTCGGCATCTAGCCATTCCTGCCGTCTATTTGTTTGACTATCCACATTCAAACCCAACTGGTAATTTTCCGCGGTGCCGACAACGCCGCCTAAGCAACAAGTTTTGACTTGTGGGTTAGTGGTTGAACATACACACTTCCCCAAACAGTTAGGGGTCGAAGATCCGAGAAAAGTGCACCGAAGCCAAGGTTGTCATTTCGAGGCACGAACTTGGCACCCCTCTTCGAACACATTACTGCATCCTGGTAACCAACATGCGCACTCTCAGTCCTGCGGCAGTTGCGCGTCACCTGTCAGCACAACATTGCAAGGATAGTGGGTATTGAAACTGCAGGGCAACACAAACTGCAGGCTCCAAGGTGCGAATCTTGATTGGGAACTCTTTGATGGACATCATTTCCACGGGAAATGCATGCCCGCCGGCAATTGTGTGATATATTCCTGATCAAAATCATGTCATATCCAGGCCCACCCGTGACCCCCATCTCGCCTTCCCCACCACCACCCCCGCCGCCACCGCCACCGCCCGCACCACCGTAGCCGCCGCCACCACCACCACCGCCCGCACCACCGTAGCCGCCGCCGCCGCCGCCGGAACCGCCACCGCCGCCGGCACCGCCGCCGCCGGCTCCGTAGCCACTCTGGCCCTGGCACGGTGAACCCTTGCAGAACTCAAAACCGCACAGCCTGTCGCGTCCGTCTGGTGTGCCAAAGCCCAGCTCGGGTGTTGCCAGCCACTCTTGACAAGCATTATCAAGCCAATGTGCAACCGTTTGCCAGCCAAAAACAGAATGTGTTGCCAGCTTCCGGCAAAACGGTAACCTGGGAAAAAAGATCGCAACAAATTAAAGCCCACAGGGGGCGTAACAGGACAACAGCGTCTTCAACTGGCGCCTGATTTAAAAAACCCTCCCAAAAATGCGGCAATAGGACACCGCCGGAGGTCGAGACGAATTCTTCGTGTGGCCACAAACCCCTTGGCTTGGGCAATCACTCGATTTGAGGTGCGCTTGTGCCCATGTTTGGTGTTGCTTCAAAGAGACTCAGGTGTTCCGTCATATATGGCGTCTGTCACCACCCTTTAGTTTGGGCCATGACCCTCTTCCAAGGGTTGCGGACACTACTAGAAACAGAGTTTCCAACTAAAGAACCCAGACCGTAGACTCGCCAAGTAATCATGGACGTGTCTCAAAATAATGATCTATCAAATAGTTAGGTTCCTTTAGGTCTCTAACTTAGCACTTCTCAAAATAGGGGTTCCCGCCCAAGAAAATATATTGGACCACACCCCATCTGGGTGTGGGTCAAAAATGGGTACCCACAAGGGAACCCTGGTAAATGGAAACAAAGACTAAAACCAGCGGTCCCCTGATGGTTCGATTTTTACCCGCACCCCGTCCGAACCACGGCAGGAGGGCATTGGCGCCGCCGCCGACTGGGAAGGCCACGCCCTCCGAACCGTTGCCCGTGGCACCGCCGAAGCCTTTCGAGGTGAAGCGGTGGAGCCCGCAATCGGTGGGTATTTGCGGGGAAGCCGCCTGGGGGTTTATCGATTTTGACCTAAACCTACATGGATTCCGGTTTCTGTACGCTATCAGCCAGCAAACTGCGGCTTGAATATGGGTTTGGCATTTTGGGGGAATTGTTACCAAAAACAGAGAGCAAGATATCCATTTCCAGGGTTAGCCACATCCAAGTTCTGTGATGCCGTGGGATTCTAATCCTATGACTTTGCTACTAGGGAGGTCCCCCTGGCGAACATTTCCTTCACCCCTTTGTAGCTGGGACTTGATGTCGCAGAGAAATCGTAGCTGGGGCAGCTTGGCGCCTTCTGATACTCCAAATGGTTTCTTCTGGCCACGTTATCTCACAGGGGCACCGTGCGAAAGAACACAAACACTTTCTTTAGGCCCAGGAAAATCCTTCTTGGAATATGGGATGCCCTTAAAAGAAAAAACGACATGCCTGATGTTTATGAGGGAAAGGGGTTGAAAAACTCCACCCGGGCTGGTTGGAGCCCAAAGGCGCCCAGCTATGCTTGGGCAAAGCGGCGTTCCTCCGGCGGCGGAGGGCCCAAAGGCGTTCCTGCCGCGCGAATCAAACCCTGTCGGTTGTCGGTGGGTGGCACATCCCAATGTTCTTACATGTGTTTTCATGCTTTTGTCGATTTTGGTGGGATTTATGATTGCATGTTATGTATTCACTTGACATCGGCGGGTTTTATCGATTTTGCCCATCCACAGTACGGCCATGCTTGGCATCCTGCACATGCCGCCCGCGGAACCGCCTTTGTGAGGGCCTTTTTCTGCCGAAGGCGCACAGTGTTTTTGGAAGGTTGCGCATTTGCGTCGCCTTTCCAAGGCGAGCTCCGCTTCAGGGATGGTCGCTTTGCTGTGTTTTGCTTTGACATGCACACGCAATCGTTTGCACCAGCGCTGGCCCTGTCGCGCAATCGGCGCATTTTGTGGAGCTTAAAGTGTGTCAAAAGTTGGTCGACATCAGTCTGCTGCCGTCCAATTTTGGACGCACGGCGTAAACGTGTCAAAGTGTGATTTCGTAACAGGCAGAGTACTTTGGACAACCTTGAGCTTGTGGCAAGCTTACTTTCTTTGACAAGCGTACTGGCGCAACACTTTGCGGCTTGCTCCAAAGAGCACAAAATGCTGATTTGTGGCAGACGAAACACTTTGCGTGCTTGCGCGATGAGTTTCGTGGCAGGCGAAGCACTTCGGAGCACGGCTCGCTGCAGCGCTGATTCGCCTGCGTGCGGGAGCCGTGCCACGGGCCGATTGCAGGCAGGCGCGGCACTTGGAGCACAGAGCGCTGATTTCGTGGCAGGGGCAATACAGGTGTGGGTCAAAGTTAAACCACAAGGGAACTGCTGGCTTTAGTCCACGTTTCCATTTACCAGGGTTCCATTTTGGGTACCAATTTTTGACCCACTGCCATATTTGCAGAGACGCGCGTCGAATTTCGTGACAGGCGTCATGCTTTGGAGCAAGTCTCGCCGGAACGCTGATTTTGCGTGGCAGACGCCGATCTTCGTGGTAGCGTAGAAATTTGCAGGGTCACGCGTTCCACTTCATGGCTTTGGGAATGTTGTCCACCCCCCATGCCGAAAGATAGAAAGGTGAATACATAGAAAGGTGGATAGATAGAGGCACATACAGCCACATAGACAGGTAGAGACGGGTGGAGACATGCGTAGATTGCCTAGACAAATAAACAAGAATATTGGTTGACACAATAGATCCAACAGACAAACACACAGACGGAAATAAAGACCGAAAACAAACAAACAAAAGAGAAAGAAAGAAAAGAACAAATAAAGAAAGAACGCTAGGGGATTAGTAAAAAGAATCAGATAGATAGCTGGCTCCACAGAGCGATGGAAAGATTCATAGGTAGATATGTGTACAACTGGATGAACAACTAGCTGAAGAGCTAGGCACCTCTACACTCAGCTCAAAGATAGAAGCTTCTCCACGCAAAAGTAACACGCCAAGTACACTTTAAGAGCTGTAGTGTGCAATGTGCGCTTTCTCAGCCCAGATCTAAAGTCGGGACTTTTCAGTACGAATGTAGAAGCAAAGTTTACTTTTCGCGCATTTCAGCACCCGAAAGCGCCCAAAGTACACTTTGATCGGGCTCTGTTTTTAAAAAAGTCGCACCCTATCAGTGCGAAGGTAGGCCGCCGCAGACCGCGACACATGAATAGATGCCAATTCATATCGATAGGTAGTTCGGTCGATGAATGGGAAAATATTGATAAAACAGATCGATAGCGAGATATGTAGGTCAAAAAGGAGATAGTCAACTGAAAAGGTTATCGCACAGACAGCAAGCCATGCAAGGTGGACAGACAAATAAGTAGATACATAGGCAGGGTAGACAGAAGGTATAAGCAACAATTAACAGAAATATCGATAAGTACATTGATAGACAGATGGACATTATTAGATAGACAAAGAGACACATAGAGGGATGGATGGACGGATAGGTAGGAAGACAAGCACATGGATAGACGAATAGGTGGAGAGATGTACAAATGGGCAAGCCACCTGGTGTATCAATCCAACAAACCTGCGCGATGCACATGACGATGTGCCCGAGTGGCAGTTTCTTGATTTCACGCCTGGCACTAGGATATGCTTGCAGAGGGATCCTTACATTATACACCTGAACATTGCATTGTACATGGTGGTTTCCCTTTATTTTGGTGGAAAAAGCCATGTTTCAAATGGGCAAAATGTATCTTTTAAGGAGCCCTGATTGCAAGAACAGCCTATCTGCTTCCCTATGCTGAACGTCACAGCTAGCCCGCACGCTCAGCTACAGCCTAATCACCTGCGAAACTATGGAGGGCGGCTATTGTGTCGGTTATCATAGATGGACAGGCGGATACATAGATAGATAGGTAGATAGATAGATTAGATTAGAATAGATTAGACTACATTGCATTAGACTAGATTATATTAGATAGATAGATTAGATATATAGATAGATTAGATTGGATTAGATTGGATTGGATTGGAGTGGATTGGATTGGATTAGATTTAGATTAGATTAGATACATAGATAGATTACATAGATAGATAGATAGATTAGATTAGATTAGACTAGATTAGATTGGACTAGATTAGATTAGATTAGATTAGATTAGATAGATAGATTAGATAGATAGATTAGATTGGATTGGAGTGGATTGGATTAGATTAGATTAGATTTAGATTAGATTAGATAGATTACATAGATAGATTGATAGATAGATAGATAAATAGATAGATTAGATTAGATTAGATTATATTAGATAGAAAAAATAGATATATAGATAGATAGACAGACAGACAAACAGACAGACAGACAAACAGACAGACAGACAAACAGGCAGGCAGGCAGACAGACAGACAGACAGATAGATAGATAGATTACATAGATAGATAGATTAGATATATAGATTAGATAGATAGATAGATAGATAGATAGATAGATAGATAGATAGACAGACAGACAGATAGACAGATAGAGGGCCAGACAGACAGATAGACAGATAGACAAATAGATAGATAGATTGGATAGATTAGATTAGATTAGATTAGATTGGATTAGATTAGATTAGACTAGATAGATAGATAGATAGATTAGATAGATAGATAGATAGATAGATAGATAGATAGATAGATAGATAGATCGATTAGATAGATAGATAGATAGATAGATAGATAGATAGATCAGATAGATAGATAGATAGATAGATAGATTAGATTGGATTAGATTGGATTGGATTGGAGTGGAGTGGATTGGATTGGATTGGCTTAGATTTAGATTAGATTAGATAGATAGATAGATCGATTACATAGATAGATAGATTAGATTAGATTACATTAGATTAGATTAGATTAGATTAGATTAGATAGATAGATTAGATAGATAGATAGATGGATAGACAGACAGACAGACAGACAGATAGATAGAAATATAGATAGACTGATAGATAGAATGGAATAGATAGAATAGAATCCATAGATAAAATAGTGTATTATATATGGACAAATTCATGTCATTAAGCATGTGCCTAAATAGATAGGCGGGGACATATACAAATAGACATGCCGGTAGCTGTGAGCAATTAATCTGCATTTCGGTGCGTGGCTTCTATCAGGTTGACAAACCATTTATTGTTCACATCTGCAACACCAGGTCATATATGGGTGACGAATCAACTTGGTTGACCCTGACAGTAATCACAAAAGCATGTTTGTCTCAAAGACGAAGCCATGCGACTCGATATAGGTTTTACCCGGGAAAAGTGCGAATGGCTCATTAAAGCAAACCTGGTTCTGCCTCTCAGTGGAAATTAATTCTAGAGCTGGCACATGTGGAAAGCCCGCTCGCAGAAGGGCTGTGGTTATTACTGTAACCAACCAGCCTCCTCCTGGGCATGTGGTGAGTGCCAATTTTGATGAGACGCATCATCCAGGTTTCTGACCTGATAGCTTCCATACCCTTATCGGTAGGTAGGGTTTGATTCTGGAGAGGCAACATGAGAAACAGCTACCACATCAAAGGAAGGGAGCAAGCACGCAACTTTCCAATCCTGACACAGGCAGGTAGTGACGAGACACATTTGGCAGGGCTCGCCGTACATTCTTGCAAGGTAGTCTAAGGACTGGTCTCAAAGACGCGCACCTCCAAAAAAAAACTATTTTGGGACCTCCTATCTGACAGCTCGGCCCCAAACAAAATCAGGTGGAGTTCGTCAAAAGGCATCTTTTAGAACCCACTTCGTAGTTGTTTTGGTTAGAACGCCCAACCTGTTAGGAGCCAGAAGCGGAACCCGGAACCTGCTCCGCTCGACAGGCGGCAGCCGTCTTTGCACTTGGCCTGCACGCCGCGTTTATTTCAACGCAACGCTACGTGAATGTCAAAGTGCCTTGGACAAGTGGTTGGTGGATGAAAATCCTACCTAAATAATATCCACAAAAGGGTCCTAGTTAAAGTTCATTCCACATTTGGGTGTGAATCCACTGTGAATCCTCCCTTGTTGAAGGTGGGTCCGTTTTGGGCTCCCTTAGAGAATTCCAACGGAATCAAAGCGCCCCTTTTCCCCCGTTCAGCCAACGAACCTGTTCTTGTGGGTGTGTGCGTCTTTTTTTTGGGGGGACTACTTGCGGCACGCCTTTCCCGATGCACCTAATCAAGGAGTTCACATCTCCTCCTTGGGGGCCCAACACGCCCTCTTGAAGACGTAGATCGCTGGCGATGTGTTTGGGGCTCACGTGTCGTGGTAGAAGCAGCTTTATGGCCAACCGGCGTTCGCCCGCTCAGCCAACCAACCCAATGGTTTCCACTACCTAAACTAAAATCAGCACGGATTTTTTGCTTTGCAGGGGGGCCTCCCCCTTTTCCCAGCTTCCCAGTGACCCTGGAGAAAGGGAAAACCCTGTTTTGGTTGGTTGACCATTTTAGTTGGCAACCCACCAAAAGGCGAAGATAATTGGGAAATGCCACTGGACAAGTGGGTTTTGATTTCCAATTGAAAGGCTTGTTGGATCACGATCTCGATGCTTTTGCATCCATTTCCCATGCCGTTGACTTTAGCGCTTCTGCGCAACGCGCCTTGTCAGATTGGCCAACGTCATTCACCTTCATGGCTTCGTCTTCGCCGGACTGGCCGTCCACGCACAGGCGTTCGGAAGTTTAGTTTGATGGAACATCCATGTTGACTGGTTCAAACATTGCGTCTTTTCACAATTTAAGAAACAAACAACGGGGGTGGGGGTTGGCAAAAACCGGAAGGCACCTGTGGAAATCAGCGGATCTTGAGGCGGAAGCCCAAAATCAAACAGAAGGGTCATCGTCCTATCAATTGGAACCTCCGATTGATCAACTGGGTTGATTCACAGGGTTTTTAGAGAGAATCTAATCGCTTTCGGGGATCAAATGCGCCAGGATTCATCCGGGTCAGTTCTGCTTTATGTCTGCTTCATGGTTCGGGCCGATCCTTTCAATATGCTGCTACTGTCTTTGTAAGACTGTTCTCCAAAGGGAAGCCAACCCCCTCGTCGACTGGGCGTCCTAACCAAAACCAAGACCAGTGTCCATGTGAAACGCGCCCTGCTCGAGAACTCGGATGGCCCCAAATAGACACCCTCCCATCCAAGATGGAACCTGACTGTGGAGGGGGGTGGGGGTTCTGGAAGACCAGCTTACCCTAAAAGGGACCCTCTGGTCAGTTCCAAGTCGCAAAAAAACATCCGAGACCCATCCGAAACCCGAAACCCCCCCGAAACCCGAACCGATTTTCAAGACTCGAGTACACCACAGCAGTGGGACGTACGTCCCAAGCCAGAAAGGGTGGCTTTCGTTGGAAGCATCTCATAGGGCGAAACCTCCGAAACCTCCGAAACGAAGCAAAATCCGCGGGATGGCCTGGGCCTTGCTCACCTTCTTGGAGGCCTTCTCAGTCGCCTCTGAGGAGTCCTCTGATCATCTGATCTCACCACGCCGGGAGGTTTTGGAACCGGTACGACACCTTTTTGTTTAAAACAAGCCGAGAAATCTGAAAGGAACTCAAGCAAGACCCCCAAAAGAAGCCTATAGAACAAAGATGAGCCAGCCAAAAGCTACCAGAAGAACCCTAAAGAACCAGCTACCAAAACCAACCCCCTTCCCTGCCCAAACTTGGCTTCGAGGGAAAAAAGATGCCGCGTCCTGCACCGCCGAGTCGATGCCTCCCTCCGCCTCGTCGTTGGCGTCGTCCCCCGCGTTCTACGCGAGCGGTGAGGAAGCCCATGGGAAGGTCGTCAGTCAGTCGTCCAAAACAGGGCCTTTTTTCAACTTGGTTGCTGTTGACCCCCCTGCAAAAAGTCTAACTTTTTGGGGGTTTTGTGGAAAACCCCTTGATTTTCCAAAAAGTTAAAGCCTAAAGATGCAACCCAATAGCAGTCAAGTCAAGGGGGTAAAACTCTCTTGGGTGTTGCCGGGGGCCGCTGGCATTGAGCTGTTCAAGCTGGACCCCTTGTTGCTGGGATTTCAAGGGAAGCCAAAAGGAAACCAACCATGTTAGGGCCGATTCCTATTTTGAGAAACGCTCATTTGCGCCGGCAAATGTGGGATAATTAATGTCCAACCATGTTTATGAGTTCCGATAAAGATTGAATCATCAGAAACTGGCCCCTCACACTACCCAGAACAACATAAAATTACCCCATGATGTTTGGGCTGCAATCTTTTGTTGGCAACTATTTTCCTGAGAGGGCGCCAAAGGGAAAGCGCCCATTTGGTCGGCCCCTTTGAAGGCCGTGAGCCGGGGTCCTATGGTGCCAGGTACCTCTGGGTTTGGAAACAATGGGCAATCTAGTCTACAAGGGGTGTGTCTGCAAAGGCTTCCTTTTTGGCTTTTTGGCTTTCCTTTAACACCAGCCAAAACCATATTTCCCAAAAGTAGCCACCCACATCATCAGAATCCGGATGTTAGGGGTGCACCTCAAAGCCATAAACAATCAGAAGTGCCGGCTTCTTAGCTTCCATTTGGCTAAGACCCTGGAAAAAAACAAATATTCCCAGTAGTGATAGATTCCCTTTAAAACCACCAGGGGAAAACAAAAACATATTAAGCAAATGGAAGTTAGCCACCCACTTCTGATTGGCAAGGGGGCTGCCCACTCGAAGCAGCACTCCTGCGACTTCTTGTAGGCGTCCGCATACTCATCCTGGCGTAACCCCGTTTTTGGACCCCCAGCCGGTGCTTTGGGCCCAGGAGGCGACAGGTTGAGTCCAAAAGCAGGCTCGAAAGACCAAGCCCCTAAAAGAGTCTTTCCAGGTCCGAATCTGCCTCAGTGCGATATACAATCCAAGCAGCTCTGTTGAAACCTAGATTGACTCTGGGTCCACAGCGACACCAGAAACCTCACTGTCAGCCCTGCACATGCAACTTTCGTCATTACCATGAGTCGAGGCTGTCAAAATTACCTGTTTCGTGGGAAAAGTGTACGACTCCTCCCCTGGGTGTGATTGAAACTCCTCAACCTGAGGTTGCTTAGGGCAACCAACCAAGAAAAAGTCTCATTTTTTGGGGAATCCGACTTCAAACTTCGCACGGCTCTGAGGCTCTGTCGAAAGAGGTGCGCAGCCGTCTCCCTGCGAATTGCACCTGACGCGAGACCGATGTCTCAAGCGCCTTGGAGACAAACCGATGAATTTCAAGCGGAAAATTTCGCGCCAAGTGAACAATCATTGAGGAGGTCCGAGCATGAAGATTCAGGAAAGCTCATCAGTAGGTTGGGGGTCATCCAACGTCAGACCTTGGCTCCCTTCTGTCCGATTCTACCTCTGAGCGGTGTGAGCACCAGCGAGCATTTTCGTCGGCAAGAGGCCAAGGGCGGCTTCCCCAAGCATTAGCTGGCCATTCGCAACTGAACAAGGTGGCTGGCGCTGTGCCACAGCATGTTCTCAGATTCCCTTTGCAAGCACTCTCATCCTGAGTTGTTTCAGTCTGCTTGCCTGTCCAATTCGATTGGCACTGTGCAGCCAAGCAAACAACTTCTCCAACGCAAGCATGCGCTTGGCCACGTTGTGAACTCAGTGGCCTGCTTCCAAGTCACGGCCCACATAGCGAGGCAGGTGACAGTCCGCTTCATCAGTACGTACCAGAACCCTCAAACCCCGCCTGTGACATGCCCCCCATAACTTTGCGTTCTCTGGACCAACATTTTGTTGGTTACACCTTTTGGTGCAAGCGCTCGGAGTCTGATGTTTTCGCCTGCAGCAACTCGGACAGGCGACCCATGGCGACATGAGCCCTCTGACTTCAGTGACACCAGGGCGGGGCGTTTGGGTTGGGGTCTTGTTTGGGGTGAGTGGGGGAGTGGGTTTGCGGGCTGGAGAAGGGTGGAGAAGGAGAAATGCATCTTCTGTCTGACCGGCTCCCCTCTGCAACCCCAAATCTGATGTGCTGCTTTGCTTGATCCAAATGGATTTGTCTTACAATTACGGAACCCAACAAATGCTGGGCTTTCCTTGTTTCTCCTTAAAACCAACAAACAAAAAGCCTGTTCCTGAGAAAACAAAGACACGCCCCAAAGGTTCCGCTCGTTGCGAAGGAGCTTGTCCCAACTCGCAAGATCTGTGCCTGGCAGGAGCCGAACACCTCGCAGCGGCGCAGCGGCTTATGCCAGGGAACCACTCCAACTGCGGGCGTTTGTCCATCCTCACCTCCGAAAGCCAGGCTGCTAGCCTGCACTTGTAGAACAAGATAGTTAATACATAACTTCCCTTAAGGGGCACCTATTTCTTTTCAGGAAACAAACCCCTCGCTTGAAACTGAGCCAGTCACCGCTCTCGCCCAATATGATTTTCTCGCCGCTCGCTTCAGAGCCCCTCCCAGAGGATGTCGCCTGCCGACGTTGCCATGTGAGCCGCATACGTGAAAGACGGGTAGGTGAAGAGGGGGACACTCACAACCATGATGCAGTCACCCTTTGGGTTCTTCACATAGATTTGGGTAGACCTTTCTAATTGTGACTCATGGACTGCTTACCATTTTCCTAACAGGATTGGCTGGGTTTCATGCTCATGGGTGAGAGGATCCTCCGGACCATGCGAATCAGAGGGGTTTTCTGGATTCACAAGTTGACATTTCCATGGAAGCTCCCAGAATCGCATGCTGGAAATGGGTATGCCTGTTAGGGGATCCCAAACATGGGGGAATGTTCCGTTTGGCTTCCCCTTAAAACCACGAAAGACGGGTACCCTGGATACCCTCAGTCTTGGGAACCTGGAAAAGGGGTCAATTCTGTCGACCCAACTCCTGCGTCAACGTTGCCATGGAGTCAAGACCCCTTCATTCTAAGCATCTTTCAACCACAATGCTTTAAATGCCCCTTGGGCTTCCTTTCAAAGCGGAGGTTTACCCTCCCACCCATTAACATGGAAGCTGACAGGAGGGTCTTGGCAGACCATTTTCCTTTCAAAGGGACTGGCCCTGTCAGGTTCCGTGTTAATTGGTGGGAGGTGTTTAAACTCGTTTTGCCACACCAATCCTTCCGAAGCCTTTCGAGGCGCGAAACACCCGTCCTCTGCGTGCCCTTCGCAACTTCGCGGTGGCTGAGGCCAAGTGCCTCTCGCAACATGCTCAGCCCAGAGGCCGTGGTGAAACGGGCATCCTGCTGTGTGTCTAATTGTTCATGATGCTTTTGAGGCACCTTTTGTCCTGTGGGTCGAATTTTTCGATGAAAAAACCAGCGGGTTCCAAACTCGCTGGTTGAATGGAATATGGCGTGACTGTTGGTTGGCAATCGATTGCCCATACTGATTTGGTGTTTGCGGCTCCAGGTAGTTGGTGGACATCCTTTACGTTGCGATTTCTGGCCGACCATTTTCGAGGCTGTTCCCATCCGAAAAAATCATGCCAAATGGGGTATGAAGAAGGGAAGCCCTTTCTTGGTTGCCCAAGGGACACCAAAGGGTCCCACTTTATGTGTGTGTGTGTGCTATCCTCTTTCTTTTTGTCTCGTTTTTTTCTTTTGGGGGAGAGGGTGGTGGTATGGTTCCAACAAACCCAAGTGGGTAGTATGTCTTCTAATTGGAAATGGACGGTTGGTGGACATCAAGACATGCTTAGGTTCACATCCAATGTCCAAAGACTTTTTTGAGGGAGGTCCAACTCCTGGGTGTGGTGTTCCCTCAGTCTGAGTTGGTACTGTTTTAGAAAACCGTAGGGGTTCTGAACCCCGGGTGCACCAGAGACAAGGCGGCGGCCCTTCAGAAATAGTGGTTGAGTTTACCCTCCACATGCAACCCACCAGAGCCCTCAACGGTCTTGCACCCCCCGGGTTCCATGTTAGTACCCCAAGGAACCCCAAAAAAATGGTTGGGTCTGACCGAACGGCATCCGGGCCTGGATGCGGTCAGGCAGAACCCATCTTTCTCCGCCTTCCGCGGAGAAAAACACACACACACACAAAAGAAAAGACAAAAACCGCAACAGCAGCGCTGAAAAAAGCACGAAAACTCCAAAACCCTAGCAAAGGACCAAGCCAAGCCACAAAACCACTCATGCGTGTGCCTTTCGGTTGCGTATTTTGTTGTTTACCCGTTTCTTCTTGATACCTGATGGCATCCCCTTTGGCAAGCCCTGGCAAGTCGCAAGGCCTGGATCAGGCCCCAGCGCACAAGACCTAGGTCGATCACCCGAACCACTACGAGACCTGGTGCGATAGCTAGGGAATGACAACCAGTCCGGGTGTTGGGAATGAGCCGTTTCGGGATTCCCTAGGAAAGCATATGGCTTGTGGGGGGTCATTCCCTCATTCCCTGCTGAGAACCAGCAAGATTACTAAGGGTGAGATGGGATATCCGTGAACCACTTAATTTAATGGCCATTGAAGGGTATATCCCCCGTTCCCAAGGATGGCTTCGGTGGAAAACCTCGAAGCGAAGCTGAGCGGCGCTTCAGCGCTCCGTCGAAGTTGGGACCTCGGGAAAGTACCGAGGAAGCGGCCCTATACCAAGACGTTTCCTCTGGGCCCTGCCTATGTTTTGTGGCGCCAGTCCGAGGGTGACGATACCGTAAGTGTTTCGAGACGAAAGCATCATGCTGCCCGCCAGCGTATTTTTTCTTGGGGCCTTCGGGCTTCAAGCATAAAGTTTGCAATGGGCTCAAGTGGGGTTTTGCTCGCGTGAATCATCTCGCGGCTTTTGCCGGCAACACGCGTGGCAACATGCAAGGCAGCCAGGGAGTGTCGCAAAGCTTTCAAAGTCAAACAAGTGGTGCACCGAAAGCTGGACCCGCCGTTCGCGTGTGCATGGCGCAAGTTTCCGATGCCAGATGGAAGAGATTGCAGGCCATCCCTAAATCAAGCCACTCATGGAAACGGGGGGACACTCAAGCGGCTCTGATGCTATGTTCGTAGCTGGCAGTATTGAGCTTGGGGAAGACACACATGTCCAAGCTGGGTGCTGGTTTGCAGCAGCGGATCAATGTAGTGCGGACGGCTCTCGAAGAGGCGGATGCAGCGGGGCGATGGGTAAGGAGTGTCAACTTGTGATGATTCACCCCCTGCAAGGCACATTTTCTTGCACTGTGATTTCTGAGGACGGCGGGGCATGGTGGGCGCCGAAAAAAACTGGTGCCACCGAGCCGACGAGCCCTTGTTTGTTCATTTGCTGACAGTCCGAAATGCGAAGGAAAAGTGTCTGAAGAATCTGTTCAACAGGAGATGTGGGTGTGACCTTCTTGAGAGTACCGTTGTTCGCTGTGTAAAGGTGAACCAAAGGGAAACGTTTGTGGGTCCCCTATTTGAGACACAGCCATTTCAGAAAACGTGTTGGAGGTTGTCTCTGACCAACACCCCTCGTGTGTCGATACTGTAGAACATCAAGCAATCCTCAATTCCATGCAACTCTGGCGCTCCACGCGGGCTCCAAATGGCTGGAACTGGAATGGACAATGTCACTGGTAGTCGTCCTTCAACTCGAGACCAGCTCCCTCAAACTGGGTGGCTATTGCATGCTATTGCCCCCTGTGCAAAAACTGACCAGCGCCTTGTGGGTGAGTGAGAAAATACACCCGAGAACCCAATAAGTACCCGAGAAAAGGACGTCTTGGCTCGTTTCCAACCAATCAGCAGGTCCACGATCGAACCAACTCCCCCAACTGCGCCTTTCTGCGGTCTGGGGCACTGGCTGATGCCAGCCCTCGGAAGGTCAACCTGAATGCCATCCGATTCCGGGAAAAAAATGAAAAAAGAAGGGGGAAAACAAAAACATGGAACCCAACCCGGCAAGAAACCATTAATCCTCTACAAATAAAGTGTTTCAAAAGAAACCATCCTCTACAAATCGTGGTTTATGTGGGTAGGTGAACCCGCATTGGCTGCTCATAGTTGCAATCAACACCTCCAAAGGTCTACGTACCGTTTCAAACCGGAGGATCTCCGCACCCAGGGTTGGTCCGGAAAAACTAAGCGAAGCGGCTTTGAGGAAACGGCTCATATGAAAAGTCCAGAAATATAGTTTTATAGTTTTAGAGACAACAGGCACAACAAAAAGCTGCCACCAAGTCCCAAAAAGCGATGCTTAACTTCGATTTGGTTAAGACCCCTGGAAAAAATACAAATATTCCCAGTAGTGATAGATTCCCTTTAAAACCAACAGGGGGATAATAATAATAATAACAAAAATAACAATAATAACAATACTACTACTACTACTAATAATAATAATAATAATAATAATAAATATTCTTAAGCAAATGGAAGGTAAAACAATCACCAATTGATGGGAAGCAACGGCAACTTGCGATCCAGGCAAATATTGAGCGTTACTCATACAATGGGGCCACCGGGTTAGTAAACCCCTGGTTGACTACTCGAAGTGGGGGTTCTCATCACGTTCGGAGGGAACCCCCCATGAATCGACCAGGACTTGTCCCTCCAAAAGGGCTCCACCAATGTAACCCCGGATTAATAAACCCCTGGTTGATTAACAGGGGGGTGTCCCCTTTTAGTGGGGATTCAGACCACTTTTGGAGGGAACACCCCCCAATGGGCCGGGTTGACTAATCCTGGGTCAACCCCGGTTTTAGTGGGGATTTATCACTTTCGGAGGGGAACACCCCAATATTAATAAACAGGGGTTTATCAATCCGGGGTCAACATTATGCTTTCCCTTCAAAGGTTTATATACTCCGTCGGTCGGCCTCCTCCACCAGCTCGGCCACCACCTCCGCGCCGCGCCACGTGAGCTCCTTGCGGCCCCAAAGACTTGAGCCCCGAAGAAAGAGAACACGACGCCCGAAGAAAAACAACGAACCCCCAAAACCCAAAATCCCCCCAAAAAGTCTACATAACTTTGATGGGGTTCCCATTTTTTTGCCGTTCAAGATGAGCCCCAGAGTTTCTGAATCTCTGTTGAGCAGGGAAGTACAACTCTTGCCAAGATGCTACCCCAGGACAATCCCCATGGAACAGGGAAGTAGCTTCCATGCGCAAGATGGCTCCTCCTTGCCGATGGTCGGCTTGGGCTCATCATGCCTTCCGCAAGTCTTCCGTCTCAAGATCCCTACAGAAGTTAGGGATGATACCCTAAATGTGCCAGGGGAACATGGGGGAAGCCTATACATCACCACAATTTACAGGGCTTCTTGTGCTTGGATGTGGTTTCAACGACAATACCGACAATACCCTTGAGGCGTCCATGCTAGCTCCCTCCCTCAAGACTTCGTTCCATGGCCTTCTAGTACCTTCCATTGCCAGAGGGCTAGTTTCCTGCAGATAAACATGCAAGCCCCCAAACCCAACTCAGATAGGCTTACGAGAATTCGCCTCACTTGGCGAAAGAAGCCCTTTTGAACTTCATAGTTGTTGTTTTTTACTTTGCAGGAGGGTAGTCGCAGTGTTACCGTCACTACAAATGCATTGGGCACGCCCGTATCTCAAGTTCTTGCATGTGACACAGGTGGGTGCTGCATCGGCCAAAACCGTCTCACTTCCACGCCATCACCTCAATCGGTTGCACCTGGCAACTGTGGCTTGTTTTGTGTGCCGCCCAACCCCACTTCAAGCACCACATGTGCCAGTTTTGGCAAACGAGAAGTTTTCCATGTCCTCACAAGGGCGGCCAGCAGGCAAAAACGCAGGTTCTCCGAAACGAGTGTAGTTTCTCCGTCGACTTTTCAGACAAAGCAGAACGCCGGATCCTGAAAAACACGCTAAACCCCGGCCTCTCTGCGGAGGCTGCAATCAGCGCCCAATAAGTCAGAACCTCACTGGAAAGCCCGAGCCGTGCGTAGCCGTAGACTGGGCGAAAAGGGGGATCTAGACTTGCCCAGTTCATGCTCACATATAGGGCTGAAGTTCGATTCATTCCAATTGCAAGGATGCCCTGTATTGTTGTTTCTTGTCGCTACCTCTGTGTCCAGATTGAGTAATTTTGCGCCCGCAGAAAGGTCAATGTGTTCACAGGTCATGCAGGTACAACGCAGGAGTTGGAGTTTGCGCCAGAATCCCAACTCCAAAAAAGAAGAGAACGGGCTGGCAACAACAAGGGGTGCAACACAGGTCTTAATTTGCTCTCCCGGTTTTACAACCCCTCCCGCATTTTTGCAGAAGAACTCCTTCAGGTTCAGCGGCATCTGTTACTAGAATTCAGGGACGCAGGCGACTTTCTTCTGCCGGGCCCGGTGGTTCCACATACATTTCCCCTCATGGGGTTGGCTCAAACTGGGGAAATGGGTAGTGTCTGCTGGCTTGCTGATTAAAAACCAAGCCCAAAAAGGGCGCCCTCAAACACAGACAGTTGGCATGCATGTGTTTGTCTTCCTCCCCTGCGTGCGTTCGACCGCTTCGCGTGTTCCACCCCGTGGTTTTAGGTGGGTGTGCGTATTCTTTTAAGGGGACCCCGAAAATTATGGCTGTCCTGCTGGCTTCCGCACCTTCCGCTTAAAACCACCAAGAAGCAGGTTCCCCATTAAAAAAAAAAACAGCTCAACTTGGTTGCTGTTGACCCCCCTGCAAAAAGCTCAACTTTTTGTGTGTTAAGTGGCAAACCCCTTGATTTCCCAAAAAAGTTTAAGTCTAAAGATCCGTTGCCCAATAGCAGTCAAGTAAAGGTTCATTCTCGGTTGCTTTCTGCTCCCCTGCTGAAAGTTTAACTTTTAGTGGATTAATAGAAACCCATCAGTTGGCCAAAAGTTAAAGTCCTAACATCCCTTGGCAAGATGCACCAAGGCAAGTGCAATTACCTTCAATTAGAAAACCCAGAATGGTAGACTGGTGGTCTCCCCCTGGCTTCCCTGCAGCTCCCACTGCAACTGTGGCCTCGGGGCCAAGTTGGGTTGGGCCAATTTCCTTCGGGCCGCGCACTCCGCGAAGACCTGCGCCTCCGCGGCGTCGGGCAGCAGCCGCATCAGCGCGGCGTCCTCTTCGGCTGGCGCGCGATTCGCTGTATGTCTTTGTATATGTGTATAGTTATAAACATCTAAATATATTAGATAATATGAGTGTGTCTAAACATGGTGGCCTCAAATGGGCATGGCTGAAAACCCAAATTGTACCCCCAGTGACCATCCCAATCCCCACTAAAATAGGTCCTAAAATGGGTAGTGCACCGAAAACCCCAAAATGGCGTGGCAGTGGCTCAAAAAAGGTACCGACATGGCGCCTTGGTTGGAGCAAAAGTCTAAATCCTGTGAACCCTAGCTCTCAGCCACACCCATATAAAGAATGACAACGAGTCCGTGGGTTGGGAATGAACCGGTTTAGGGGCATTCCCGAAAGGACACCACCAGTTGGATGGTTTATAGCAGTCATTTCATTTCGCATTGTGTTGGGTATGGCTTCGTTTCGATAACTGAGTGAACATGATTTGCTTTTGGATTCGTGTACCCGAAAAAGGGTAATCCTCAAACAAGGCAGGGGTTCTCAACAAAGCCAACAAGAGGGCGAATTCAAAAGGATACCTTTCAAACCAAAGTGTTCGAGGGATCCTCCCACTTTTTCCCCAACAGAAAGCTATGGGGTGTCTGCCCAGATAAGCTGCGGAGTGGTTCGGAATGGCTCTGGGCTAGGGTTGCGGGACATTGCAAAGGGGGTGGCTGTTGGGGATACCACATGTGTTGCGTCTTATTTTTTCTCAGTTGGCGAGAAACACAAAAATCACTTTTTGGGGTCATGGCTAGAAATCGGCCAAAAAGGGAACCGAAAGGTCAGCTTAGATTGTTTCGCTTTGGACAACAAGCAAAGCAGTTGTTGTTTTTTGGGGGGAATGGGTTTATTTGTTGGGCGGGAGATGGCTCCATGGCAGCTTGCCTTGTCCAAGCAGCGGTCGAAGAGCATGGAGGAGACTCGGGACTTCCTCAAACCATTTCTCCGAATGTGCCCGTTTCGGCGAGTTTGGTTGAGATGAATTCCACGGGTGTCCGATGCTTTCCGGTGAGCTTGGATAGGTGAACTCCACGAATTTGGTTTCAGCTCAGGTTCAAGGGTGGCAGGGGAACCCTGATAATTGAGCACGGGGATCCACCAGTGCCCAAGCATCGGCATTTTTCTTGTGTGTGTTTGTTTGGCTTCCTTTTCAAGCAACCCAAGACAGGGTTCCGTCACACACACACACACACACGCACACATATACACTTCCTGGAATTAAACAGGAAGCTCCGAAGCTTTTCTTTGCAGGTTAGTCAAACAAAAAAACATGTTTTGGATAATCCTAACATAGAAGTCCCTGGTTTTGTTTTTGTCGACTTCCGCATTTCAGAACTCGAAGCTGACTTCCGAAGATGATTCGGGCACCGGCTCCCTCAAACCCCCCAATAACCCTCCCCCCCCTAACACAAACCGAACTCCCCCTCACACCCCTTCCAGAACTGGCCCAGAACCCCACCTAGGTACGACGTACGACTGGTAGCATGTGGCGGTGAGATTGACTCGGAATCTGCTATTTTTGGCATTAGCGGGAGGACACACCGTAATTTTAAGCGTACCAGGGAAATGCCGGTTCACGACTTTCTCAGGGATATGCGAAACTGCTCCTAACATAATCATAGTTTCCCAATTGACCCCCGACAAAACAAGAGGGCAAACGACGAGCCTGCACTTCCATGTTAAGCACACGTGTTCTCCTTTACATGGACGTGTAGGGCCCATTTTCAGGTGCTATGTTAGGACACTTACATGGGTCGGAACTTGCGTTTTCACTCACGTTTTTTCTTTTACATAGAAGTGCAGGCTCGAAACAGGTTTCCTCAAGAATCTAGGGTTCCTGAAAAAATCCCGGGATTGTCGTGGCGAGGGGTACCCTAGGTAACTTCTATGTTAGGAGGTGGTCGTACATTCCCACCAAAAAAATGACAGGCATTTCCCCAGAAAAAGACGGTCGAGGGACTTCCATGTTAGAGGGACCTCTGAGAGCACGGACTTCCTGTTTAATAATATACATATATATATATATATATATAATATATATATACACCCACGCGAAGGCAAAGCCATAGCCATGAAATCATGTTCACACAGAGAGACACACACACACAGAGAGAGCACTTGCTCGTGTTCCCTCATTTGGAGATAACCCATACTGGTGTGGCCGTCTCTTTGGAGCCCAAATCTCTTTGGTGGATTAATACACGTGGGAGACAACAGGAACCCACCGGCCAAACCAATCGAGCGAACGCCTTGCTTTTTGCGTTACCGACCCGAGGTTCAAAGCATTGCCAGTCGGAGGCTTCTTTGGATCTTGTGAAGTGATCCCTCCAGACCCGAAATCGAGTCCCCAGTTTCCCCGGGAGCTCCCCATTCCCTTCATTAAAGGGTGGATAGTCCATGGGAGCTCCCCATTCCCCCGGTTTCCAGGGTGGATTTCGATATATCAGCTGTTGGTTTCCTGTTGAAAGATTGGAAGCCCTGGTCAGCACAGCCGCTGGACGGCACGCCCAAAGTGCAGTCAGGCGTCGATCCAACGCCCACTCCTCAGCTCATTGCTCGACTCTCGCATACTGCACGTGACATGGCTCGACTCTCTCAAAACCGGAATCTCTGCAAACCGCTTGGCCCATTTCCCTGTGCACTTCCCAAACATACCCCGATGAATCATGGGGTTTGGGATGTCCTCCCAAAAGAAGACACATAGCGCAAAGGCAAAGCCTCGGCAATGCTTTCGCCAAGCATCTGCGGTAGTTGGAAAAGGTTCGGACGCTGAGCAACGTGATGGCTGGCACCTGGTCACTGGAGGTTTGAGGCTACCTTCCCACTGACCCTCTACAAGAACTGGCTTCAAATCCCAAAACCACAAATCTAAACCACCCATTCGGAGTGACCTGAGAATTGGAACCATGGGTTTGACTTGCTCCACCAAATATCCCCAACAGCAGTTCCCGGAACCCTTCCGGGACTGAAGCCACTCCGAAAAGCTGATGGCTTTTTAAGGAGAGATCAGCTTCAATGCTGCGATGCTCGGTTTGAAGCCAAGTTGCCAAAGCCAGCCACCTTGGCAGGCGATGTGGACAACACCACAAAGAGAAGGCTGACACTTTCGGACCACATCGCACTTGGCACAAATCTGGACCGGGCAAAAAAGGGGATTTTCAGGGTCTGGTCCAAATTTAGTCTAGTAAAGGCCAATATAATTTCGTCCCCCTCGACAAACCGGTTCCCCTTCGACAAAAGAAGGCTTGAAACACAAAGCGGTGCTTCTCTGAAAGAGAATGGAATTGTTTCCTCGAACAGAAAAGAGCTTCCGCTTTAAAACGAAGGTTTACCCTCGCAAAATAAACATCGAACCTCTTTCAGGGCTCTACACTCCTTCAGGATCCTTTATCGTGGTTTTTGGGAGAGTAGGAGATACCCACTTTTTACGTGGCATGTGTTGGGAATATTTTGAAAATACCGTTTTGCTTTTTTTTTTTTTCTCAGGGGTGTCATGATTCGAGTCATGATACCCTAAGAGAAGGGAACCATTTGGAGAAGGGGGTACTCCGACTCCGACTGAAAAAAGAGGCTCCCCTTCAAACGCAGGAAGCCCCATGCTTCAGGGGAATACTCCATTCTGTCACAGGAACATGAGCCATCATGACTATCTTATGACAGGATTACCTTGGTTCTAGCAGATACATCCAAACCCCGAGTTCCCAAGGCGATTTGGACCACCGCCCATTTTTTTAAATAGGGAAGCTGGCGCCCAAATCTCACGGCGCGGCTTCCTGGAGGCCGTTCCGAGCGAGAAGCTTGTTGGCGTCACCGAAGAGATGCAGCAGCACCCCCAAAATGCCCACCATGGTGATGAGATCCGCCCTGGGACTCACAGATGTGTGGTTTGAGTGTACCTCTTCTTCCATTTGGTTAAGGCCCCAGGAAAACATCGCATATTTCCGGTAGTGATGAATTCCTTTTAAAACCAACAAGGGAAAATCTTAACCAAATGGAGGTCTTGCTTTTGGTGTCTTAAAGGGAAATTAAAAGGAAAACCATGTCAGGGTAAAACAGACACACCCGTCACAATGAAAGCCCCGGTATTCAAAAGGTTCATTGTGGCTCAACTGGAACCGAAATCCCCAACCTATGCAGTAAGGAACAGAGAATCCGCATATGAGGGGTGTACAAGGGTGTACAAGGGGGACACGGTGTGTATGGGCATGAACTTGAATGCCCGAATGGGAGGGGGTTCATTTTCGAACACCGATTTCGGCTCATTTTAGAACACATGGGGGATGGGGGGGGGGATGGGGGGAGGATGGGGATGGGCTCAAAGCCAGCTCCTGGTAGCACATGCCAACTTGGGGGCTGCCCCCTGACTTAGAAGAACCCACTCTTTTGGCAGTCTCTGATAGATCTCAGAACAGAACCTGATGTCTGATGGATCCTACTATACTCGAAGTCCTTGATGCATGGCTGAATGGGAAGATTCTCACAAGATTGCTGAAAGATGAAAGCCACCGGAGAAGGTGGTGTCCTACAAGCGCCAAAATGTTTCCAAAAGGCATAGCGAGGAGGTAGAGAAAGATGGAGACATAGAGTGGAGGGAGGGAGAGAGAGAGAGAGAGAGGCATAAAGAGGAATGAGAGAGAGAGAGAGAGAGACAGAAAGAGAAAGAGAAGGAGAAAGAGAAACAGAGAGAGAAAGAGAGAGAGAGAGGAACACACGGGGGAGGAGAGAGCACGGGGGAAGAGAAAAGAGAGAGAGGAAGAAGGAGAAAAGGGAGAGGACCATGTCGGCGGAGTGAGCCGGAGGCTCTAAAGTTATAACAGGCCAAGCTTGAACAAAAGCAAGTTCAAAAACGAGAACTTGCTCGCGTTCACAAACGAGCCGAAACACGCGTTCAAAAACGCGGTGCTTTCCAACTTGAATTGGTTGGACCTTTGTGTTTTCGGGTTGCTTTAGTTTTATAGAAGGGCATTGAACGAGAAGACAACACTTTTGAGGGGTCCCTTATTTCGAGCCACCCACCATTTGGATACCAACTTCAAATTGTGTGGACATCATTCACGAAGTGTTTATGTCCAACTCTTCTTGAGGACGCAGCAACAATTATTGTTTGAATGCATTTCGGGTAATGCAAGACGTTGGACATGCATGGTGCCTCCATAAAGTAAGGAGACCCCTCAACATGCAACCACTTTATACGACCCAGAACAAACAAACCATTGGCACCCCCAGCAAAAATCCTGAAACCGCAGCTTCCAAGCCCAGCTCAAGAGCGTTGGCTTCGCACAAATGGGCTCCCAGAAATGGGCGGCTTCCTTTTGCTTTCCCTTACCCAAAGGGGGTGTCCCAAAGGTGTCCCCCTTCAGAAAAGTGTTCCCATTCAGAAACAAGCTCGCTGTTCAGAAAGTGTCAAAGTGAAGTTTCTGGGGTAAGTCCCGAGCCCTGCGACCCAGGTCCCGCGAAGGCGGACTGGATCTCCCGCCTGATCATGTCCAGCGGTCGGCCCCGCACTCGCCAGGCCTCTTGGGGTAGCACCAGCTTGATGTCCTCAAAAAACTCAAAGCCCGCGGCCCCCGTGCCCCGAAGCGTCATAAACCGGATGGATCCGGCTCAAAGGAAAAGGCCAGGGGAAGCGCAGCGGACTCAATGAGTACCAGCAAGGTGGTGTCTAAAGGGAACCGGCTTCTGCACCAGCCGGGCCTGCTGCGCGTGTGAGGGTACCCTTTCACCTGGGTTAAATGGAGACCAAACGGCAAACCACATTTCTGCATTTCTGTGGGTGTTTGGGGTTGCCTGGAAGGTAGAGGCATGAAGTTGAGCTGAACATGGACCTTTCGGTGCCACCGTGGACGCCCATTGCGTTTCCACTTCTGGGATGCAACTAGGAAATCGGCCTTACCAAATACCTCCAATCTAAAAGGATGGCTGCTTATGACAGAAGTGGGAACCACTCCTGAATTTTCCCTAACCCAGTCACTTGAGCCATAATCAGCACTTGGTGCTAAAGGGCCAACCCCGCAAACCCATGTTTTTTCCAAAGTAGTTCGATCAAGAACAGCCAAATGGCACCATTGTCCTCGTGGTTTCGCTTGAAAACCTACAAATTGCACCCGCTCCCTCTCGGTCTGCCTTGCACATAGCACATGCATTATCATGCATTTGTTGGGTTTGCTGCTTGCTGTTGACACATAGACATGGCAACGCTTCTCCCTCTAAAACATCGGAATGGCACCGGTGTTTGCAGTTTCGAAAGTAGGATTCTAGGCAGTTGTGGAGGGGCGTTTCGGGAAACGATGCATCAATGGTTCATGCCGGTCTCTCTCTCTCTCTCTCTCTCTCTTTGGCTGGTTCCCTCAGAACACGGAAAAACACGAGCTCCAAACTGGTTTCAAACAAGTTGATGGTTTCTCATATAACCAAAAACAACAACAGCCACCAAGTGGCAAGGTTTCCTCATTGGCGTAGGTTCAACGCGTCCGCAAAAAACCGGGCTTTGGGTTGGGCGAAATTGGTTTCAACAGTGGTTTGATCATGTGGGATTCTCCATTCTCACACTGTGGTTTTGCCCCGAAAACTAGTCAAAATCACCGCCCATGTTGGGTTCCCGCATGAGGACCCACACCATTTTAGGTAGTTCTACCAGCTGGATTCATGTCAGTTATAGTAAGGCCAGTATAATAGGGGGGGACGGGAGTTCCCCTTCAAAAGTTGCAATGTACAGGTGAAACCCTGAATAAACGCTATTTATTGTAAAGGGAAACCAATACGAAACCACCATTTTTGGGCGTCCCATTTTTTGACACCATCTTTGTAGAACCAAGACGTCCAACGTTTTCTGCCCATGTCCTTCATCGCTACCTCAAAGAAGCGGCGGATGCAGATCTCCCGGCGTGGGGGTGGGCGCGGTGCATCTGCGTCGCCCCCTCCAAGGCGGTAGACGATCAGGATCTCCTTCCGGGCTTCTTTTTTCCCCCGAAACATTCGTGAGGGCTTGTCTCATGTTAGGTTTTACGAATGCCTGTACCAATGGAAGCAGATTTGAAAGTCAGAAGTCACGCAAATAATGGGAATCCCGTGGCACGATCAACCAATGGAAGACAGGATTCCAACAAGGGGAAAGCGACCCCCCAAAAAAACACGAAAGAAGTGGGGGGGTAGATGGGACTGCCTGATTTTGAGGGTACCCCTTGTTGGATGGCTTTGAGTGGAAATTCCAGAAAATACCCAGGAACCGCCCGCGTGTTTTTGGGTGCCTTACCTTAAAAAACCGACTTGAGCCCGCCCCCCCCCCCCCAGTTTTTTTGGACCTCCGTGGCATCGTTTTTCTGTCCAGCCTGGAACTGGGGCTCCTGGAGTTCCGCGGGCGCCAGCAGGGAGCCGAGGCTCACCGGCAGGTGCTCCACGCTGACTCGCTCCAGAAAGTTCCCTCGCGGAGCGGCGGAATTCGTCGCCGCGCGACCCGGGGAATGCGTCGGAGAGTCGGGGACTCCGGAGGCAACCGGACAGAAAACTGGCTGAAAAAAGTACTGGGGGAAGAAAACCCACCATGGTGATGGTCTTGAGGAAATGCCTGGAAAGAAAATGAGGGCCGGTTGGTTGGGCGTTGAAATTGGGAGATTCCAAACCAAGATTACTCGCAAATACACAAAAGGTTGGTTTGGAGGCCAAATGATGGGCTGGGAAACCCTTTCAACACCCAACATTGTAAGGTGGTTTCCCATGTGCAAGAGTAGCTTAAGGGTCCATGTAGTTTCTGTTGGAGTTGGAACCTCGCAAAGGGTACCAACTAAGGGTACCCTTTGTAATAAAAGTACAACACACAAAACAGTAACCATGATCAATGAACAGGAAAAGCACGCACCCACATGGGTATCCAATTGGGTGATTCTTTTTTGTGGTACCCTTTGGTGGGATGGCTTTACAGGGGAATACGAGGAACACCTCCAGTTTGTAGGGTCCTCTATTTTGAGACACATCCATTTGTTCCCAAGCTGATCTGGGTCCAATTGAAATGGTTGCATTTTGCCAACTTACTTTGGGAACGCGGGGAACATGGGCTACCCCGGAGGGGGAGGTGTCATGTGTTTTTTCTCGGAGGAGTCCCTTACTGTCCAAGCCATCTAGTCGTCATTAAACTTGGTCATGGTCTAACCAAAACCATGCGGACAATTCTCAGTTGCCCTGGGACCCAGAACCAACAGCAAAAGCTGTTTGGGGTACCAACGGGAAACCAAAAGTCAGTTCAGGTCGGTTCACTTCCAACTGAACTCAATTGAACATTGGCAGCCGCGCCTGTTGGTTGGTCTTGGGCTTTGACGAGATCGTGAAAGCGCGACCCCAGATCTATGAAGATCGGAAAGTGCCGCCGCACAAATCGTGGAAAACGCCACCCTGCAACCAGAGTGAACCCCCAGGTTCCCCTGGCGAGAAATTCAACCAAGGGAGCTCCCCGATTTGTGGGATTTCGGATTGATCACCTTGTGCAGGTGCGGTTTCACATCGATTCGGCTTGCAAAAAAAAGCACCCGACAATTGCTCTTCCGATTTGGAGTGGGGAGTGGGAATGGGAAAACGCAACCCCTTCGGAATGCCCAAAATGGGTGGTGTCCTTTCGGTGTCCCATTAAAACTTAAAATATCACATATCTTCGGAGACGCCAAAAATCGACAAGACCGAACCTTTGCAAGCAGATTGACCAAACACCAACCGCGTTTTCTGACTTGGCCCTAGCGAAATCCCTCCTTCAAACCAATCATCAAGGCGTGCCACATACAGAAATCCTTCTTTTGAGGGTTCACCTCTTTTGCTTGCTTTCGAACAAAAAACCAACAGAAACAAATCCACCCTGTAGTTTCCTGTCTGTTTTGTTCGTGTGGGGCGAAAGGGGTACCTGTAACACAAGGACCACCAAATCCTCGCCTTGTTTTGAAACCCACCCGCACCGGTTCCACCCAAAAAATTCGGCGCTCGCTCGCGCGGTGCGCTCCGCGCTCGCCTGACTCCAGCGCGGAACGGCCCAGCTCCGAGGCCATGGGCTTGTGATAGCGGCCCCGCAGCGTCACCTGCGCGACCGCGCGACGGGGGGGGGGGCGACCGGGGGAGCGACGGGGCCGGGAACAGGGAACAGGGCCCCCCCGTTTCCCGCGGTGTTTTTCTCTCAGGAAGAAGCGCCAGTGTTTTAAACAAAAACCAGGAGGTTTGCCTGAACTACGTCCCCGTTTGATACCATTTGTCAAGGGTAGGTTTTTAGGATCCAAATATAACAGTCCTCAAGCTGCCCCATCCTCATTCCAATCCGGCTTCCCTTTAAACCCCGACCCCAACAACACAACCAGCACCAACCAGAAGAAACAAAAAATAAACATCAAACACCAACGCCACTGGACCCCAAACAAAACACACCAAACACGGCCCCACTCGGACTCTTCGGGGCTTTGGGTTCTTCCCCGCGCGCCCGGAAGCTCCTCGCCTCCTGCTCCCAGGCCCTGGCCAGGCGCTCGATCAGCGCCGCGCGCTCCGTGGAGAGCCGCTTCTTGAAGACGTCCCCTCCGCCCCGCGGCGCGGAGCGTCCGGCGCGGGGCGTCCGGCGCGGGGCGGTCGGCGCGGGGAGGCGGGGCGACAACATCGGGGGAGGGGCTGGGCGATGCGTTGGGCGAAAATTGTTGTTTCCATCAAGCGCAGGTCATGTGTAGCGCCCCGACTGGAGCTCACCTCACGGACTTATGCGGACAGACAAGACAAAAGTTGGCATCAAGTATTTGTGTGGGCAAAAAAACCCGAAACATGCTGAACAGCAAAACACCTCAAAGAATAAACCTGGGAACTACCAAGATGGGCCCAAACTGCAGTGTGGAGAGGGTCCAAGCAGTTTACACACTTCTGGGGGTTTGCGATTCCGGGACATGGGGGGTTGATCAAAAGGTCCTATGAGCATGGGATGGCCATCAGGGAAACTACAAACAAAAGATTCAACTTTTACCCGAAATGGGAACATTTACCCATGGTCGTTTTGGGGCCAGAAATACCGCATGTTGATCAACCCCCACTTCCACCCCAAACCCCAACATTTCGGGCTTCCCATCAGCTTCACCCCAAGCTGGGCTTCCAACCAGTTTACTCTAATGGCTCCAAAAAAGCTGAGGGAAACATATGGCTGTGGGTCAAAAACAGGTATACCCAAAATGGAGCCCTGGTAAACCGAAACATGGACCAAAACCCGTCCCCTGGTGGTTAATTTTGACCCATGCCCGTATCACAGATCCCATCGATTTGCCGCCCAAGTCGCCGAACATCCACTGGGCGTAGCCTTCAGAGATGGACAACCGCCGGGGATCGTCTCGCGGGGAAAACCCCGAAATTCGAGCGTCTGGAGAAACCAGTCATAGGCATTCTGCGGAAGGACCACAGGGACCAACCAACATGGGGCAACAAGCATGTCTTAGATGGGAAAGTTTCTGCAGAGTCATATAAAGGCCAGATGGATCAATCGCAGGGTTGTGGGAAGCATTTGACACCCAAAATTTGTAATACCAACATGAGAATTGTTATCCGTGACTAGTTTCTTCACACTGATTTCCTTGGTATCACAGAAACAAGCGCGGTTGCAGTTACACGATGGTCCCGAGACTCAGGCCGCGGAGAAAACCGCAAGTGGCAAGGGTGGAGAACCCGGGCACCGGTTGGAAGGTACTTGTAACTTGAAAGGGAGATGGTCCAAGAGCTAGGTACCCTTCCCCAAGGGAAACAGCCACCACTTGCATGTGGTCCTTTTTGGGCCCGTGTCAACAAAGACCCGACCTTGGAGATCTAGCTCCCCTTCGATTCAAGGATGGCATTGCAAGTGCGACCGCTTGAGTTCCTTTCATGCGATTTGCCTTCTAAAACCCCATCGAGGGCTTCATCGATACGTGAGGCGACCCAAGGCCGCGTACGGCTCTCGCCCTGAGGCTTTTCAGATTCCGAGAAAGTGACACGTGCGGCCAAGGGAGGTGCTGCGTGAGCTCCAGAAGACATGGGCACGCGTCTCAAGCGACTCTTTGGTGGACAGAATTCGGTTGAGATCCACTTGTGCGGTGCATCCAACTCAAATACAAAGTTTTGTGGTGCCTTACACTGGGGAAAGCCCCCAAGAATGTTGGTTGTCCAAAAGACGGGTAGCCTCAACAACAGGAACCACACCCAACACAGACCCAAAAGGGCAGCTGCCATTTGCGCAGCTAAGCTGCGGTAGGAGTTGGGCTGAAGCCGACGCAGTACTTGGGTGCCAGAGATGCCTCAGCGCTGCGATCCTTTGCGGAAGGGAACATATTGGTTTTAACGGGAAACCGAAAGAAAACCAGCTTTTCGGGGTTGCCCGACAAACTCAAATAGGCTCTGATGGCAGTTTCGGTTGAGAGTAGATGGCAAGCCAAGTCCCCAACTTTGGTTTAGTCGGCCCCTTTGCTTTCCCACATAAGGGGAGTTGTGCCATCAAATGGGCTTTCAACAAAAGAACACCCTCAAAAAAGGCAAATGCCCCGTTTGCCTCGCCTGTCACAAACGCAACGCTTGCGCCCGCCAACCACTAAGCATGCGCACGGAAACTTGGAGGGGCCCAGGTTCCCTTGGGGGGGTTTGCTTCTGTAGCTTCGAAAGAGCCTTTGGTACCATTTAAATTAAATGGGTGAGATCTTCCTAATTGACCTGGCAGGAACCGAACAGCTTAAAACTGCGAGTTTCTCCCCTGCATTTCGCGAACCACGAAAGGGGTCCCCGCGTTCAGCGTTCAGTGTACTCTACAAGCGGATGCTTTGGGTGTCATGTGAATCCTGGGCTGTCCTGTCCGTTTTCTGATCCCCTGCTAAAGTTTAACTTGTGGGGTGAATGGAAACTACCAGTCACCACTAAACCATCAAACGAGGCTAGAAAGCTAAGGGGATGGCTGGGAACCACAAAGACTCTGCACGACATTCGGAACATGGCACGGCACTGCAGTCTCCGAATCACCAAAACCGAGTCCGTGTTCTGTCCGAGTCCTTCCGTGGTTTTTGAGGGTGTGTTTCGTGGACCCCCAAAATGGCTTTGGCATTCCTGGTGGTTCTCCCTTTAAAGCCATCGAACAAGAGGTACCCTCCTGTCCACTAAGATGGGGAACCCACCAAAGGGCCCCTCTTAAAGGAATATAGTCTTCCAGGACCCCTCATTCAGGTTCCACGTTAGTGGGGAGGGGTATATACCCTCAAAAAGAAAAGCCCCCATCTGAGTCATAACCAAAACCTTCTATTGGGATGGTCCACCCAGAACCATGCCACAGGAATTAAAAAAGGCGGCGAAGGCATCCATTTATGGCAAGGGGGTTATCCTTTGCCAACCTTCTACTCGGGTTTGGAAGACGTGGCTCATCTCTGCCCTTGGTTGCTGTTGACAACCCCTGCAACAAGTTTAACTGTTTGGGGCAGGTTAGGTGGAAAACCCCTTGATCGTCCCAAAAAAGTTAAAGTCTAAAGATCCAACCGCCCAACAGCAGTCCAGCGCCAAAGGGCGCATCCGCAAGCTCCGCATGGCCTCCCGCGCCAAGGGCGCCAGCTGCGCGCCTTGGCGCCCTGCCGCGCGCAGCAGCCTGAAACTTGTCGCCGGCCGGGGGCGGAAAATGCACAGGGGATCAACCTCCAACATCCAAAGTTGGCATTTGGAATGGGTAAAGGCTCCATAAACCCAAGTGGATGGGTTTTGTTCTCTCTCTCTCTCTCTCGCTCTCGCTCTCTCTCTCTCTCTCTCTCTCTCTCTCTCTTTTTCTCCAGACACGATTGAAACACTGGCAGTCACAGTTGACGGGGAAAACGCTTCGCAGTTGGTGATCCAGCAGGAAAACACCAGTTTAGACCATCCAAGAGAGACAGCAGTCGGAGACAAGTTCCATACCCAGCCAGGAGCAGTTGACACTCGGACATGGATGAGCCACAACTAGGGATCAACAGGCGCAAACTGATTCACTGGGATCAACACCTGGTAAGGGGGTCTGTCCAAAACCGTGTTAGAAGGCTACTACTTTCAGGTTGGTTTAAAGTTCAGCCAAGAGGAAACCAGCATGTTGCTTGTCCCATAACATGGGGTACACAGAAAATGCAATTGTCAGATTCTGTTTCATATCTCGTCACAGTAGAATGTCAAACAAATAACTTGAGATAATCCACCTAACTCACTTCCTGAGTGAATTGGCCGAAAAGTAGCCTGACTGTTCGTTTTCCACTAAAATGGTCCAAGCCCAAAAAGTGTAGAGTTCAGGAACTCAGGGCGTAAGAATCCCATTTTGGATGGTGTTGGAAGGGAAGAGAAGGACGCCTAAACATCCTTCCCCTGACGTACCCAAGTGGACCTTGGAACTTCACCGCGAACCGCCTGGCTGTCTGCTTGAAGGCGGCCGCGTGCCGCGTCTCCGCCCAGTCCCTGCAAGTGACACCAGCCAGGCGGTCCCCCGGGACCAGGCGAAGCAGTTGAACATGGTTGTGCGACAAAATATGGATGTGTGTGCTTTTTGGGACACCCCGTTGTGGAGTTGAGTTTTAAAAGGGGAAACCAAAGGGAAACCACCCCCCCTTATCTTGACACATACCCATATGTCATTTGAAATTTGCATAAGTCAAGCTTACTTCCACTTGCGCGAGCTTGTTTTCTTTGCTTCCCCTCGAGGCATGACTGGTAAAGTTGTCACGGAGATGCCTCCTTTTCAACTCAAATTAAAGCTTATGTTCTCGTGAAAACTTCATTCGGATGCGTCACTTTCGATCGATTTTCCAAACAAGTCAAACCAAACTGTTTGTCTACGAATGAAATTGCCTTTCCAAGCATGAAGCCCATCAACTCGCGAAGTGATTCCCTGAAAGCTGATCCCTTGACCACTCCGAAACGTGAGACTTCTGATGTGTTAAGCAATCCCATGGCAAACCGGCGGCAAAGGGTCAGTCGAAAATAACAACAACCAACAAACGAGAACGACACAAACCAACTTGTGAAGTGATATGTTCCTGTAGGCAGAAACGACCAAGTTGTGGGCCTTCCGAAAGGGAACCCTTTCAAGGACATCATCTACATGGGCGTGTCCACCAACCATTGTGAGGAACAATCACTGCCGGGTGACCAAATCCCAAAATGGGTATGTCGCTTTTTGAGGGTACCCTCTCTGGAGCTATTGCAAAGGGAAACCGAAAGGAAGCCACTTCTCTCCTTCTTTGTTTTTTTTTGGGGGGGAGGGGGTCGGTGGCATGGACCACAAAAAGCCCAAACAACCGAGCCGTAGAACAGGCTTCGGCCTCCAATCTTTTTCTGATGGGGAATGAGGAGAAAGCAGCAACACAACTCATCAATACGAGTTGAAACTCCATCCAGAAACTGCTTTTGCAGCGGAAATCCGAGGCTTCCAACTGAGACACAGACAAAACGGAGCCTCCGCACGTGTCTCCTTTCGGTGAAAGCCGTGCCTGGCGGCTGGCAGGGCGTGGTTCCAGGCCTGGCCGCTCTCGGCTTCAGGGCGGGTCTATTTTGAGACATAGTACCCCTAGGCCCTCCAGACTTGAGAGGTTAGAATCAGCTGGTACCCGACCTTTTTGTTCAGGACGTCTATTTTAGGGGAACCCTCCCCCAAAAAAGGGTAAAAGGGCACTACTGGGGGACCAAACAAACATCGCGTCCTTTTGGCTCGGTTGCTCACAAAAAGTCGTCCACCACTTGAAAACCTGAAACTAGGTTGCGGCAATTCTGATTCCCAGTCACACCTATGTGCACTGTTTCAAGAATCAGCTGGAGCACTTTACACGGGGAAGCCTTGAAAAGGGGCGCGAGGTGCCCTCTGCTGTTGTCTGGGGTAAGCCCAAATAGCCAGGATGCAGATGACAGACAGAATCCGTCAGCAGATGTCTGGGGCTGAGTGTCTGTTTTGTGGCGAGAGTTGGGTCTAGAGCTACACCGGAGTATCTGTGTGGGCCAAAGTCTGGGTCTGTGTGTGTGTGTGTGGGGCCTGATCAAACACGAGCAGGTCCGGGTCTGAGCGTCTGTGCAGAGGTCTTGGTCTGAGCGTCTGAGTCTCTGTGGGGCCAAGTGCGTGGAGGTGCGGGTATAAGTGGGTGGATACTCAAAGGTCCGGGTCTGAGCTTCTGCGGGGGCAGTCGGTGTGCGGCCTGCACGGATACAAGCATGTCCCGGTCCCGAGTCTCGGTGTCTGTGTGGTGGGCCAGCTGCGCTGTGGTTTTCCTTTTGGTGTCCCTTGAATTAATTGCTGCAACCCCAAAACCGGGCACCTTCAAAAAACACAGGACGACCGCACGGCCTGGCCTTGGCGGAAAGGTGGATGAAACCCTGCAACAGGGACTGCAGAAGGCTTCCCACTCCTCAGTATCCGCTGGGGAAAGGAGAAAACGGGTCAGTAGCATTACACTTGGTATGAACCAACTTGCTCTCGCTCTGAGAGTCAATGCTCGCAGCGACGACCCCACTTCAAATGAAATGGACCACCGGATGTTTCGACCGAATCTCAAACGGCAAGAGCCAAACAGCGCACGCCTATTTGTGCAGAACGCCCGTCTGTCCTCCCAACACCAAGACTAGAACCATGATCGTGCCACTTGTTGGGCGCTAAGCTACTTGGCCAGGTCTTTGGCCTTTTAGCTTCTCAGGGAAATGTGCATTTTCCCGCTCACGGGATAGCCGCCAAGAGCTGCTCAACACACTAGGCATAATCTCATCCGTCATTTTTGTCCAAAAGCGCAAGATCATGACAAGATGCTAAGCAGCCACTGGGATTGCAAGCACTCCAGCTTCTGCATGAGCCACCTCATTCCGTTGCCAATTGCCCCAAAAGAACGGGCTCTGGCAACACAGTCCGGGCCGAGTTTTGGGTTGCAAACCAAAGTTAGGTTTTTAACCCGCAAAGTCCGAAGCTTTTGCCCATTCAGTGATTGAACAAAAACTCTCACAACCCCTCTGGCAAATGTCTCTATTACATTCTATTGTCAATTGGACACCCGAAAAGAGTGGGGGCATCCTCCCACGAGGGGCGGATTACATTACAAAGCTAAAAGTAAGTTTTGTAGTCCGCGGCGACGTTTCTCTTTCCAGGCTTTTCTCACATGTCTGGAGCCAGGGAGGAAAGAAAAGGGCCACCAAAAAAAAAACATGCGCCCGAAATGCCGCAAGCATATACAACTAAGTGCGTTGGGGACCAGCAGCTGACATTCGAGTTTGTGATTGGAAGCGGCTGCTTTGGAAAACGAAAACGTTGTCAAACCTTGGGCGCAACACAAAGCCAAAAACCGCATGATGGCGCAATCTGAACATTCTCCTGGGTTGGCCTGCAAGGGTAAAACATGAATGGTAAAATTCGAAACAATCTAGGTATCCTGGCCCCGCAAACGCCATCCGAAACCGAGTGAAGCTCCAAGCAAGGTTGAAACACAAGCTTGAAACACAAGCTGGAATGGGCCTGACGGCAGGGCCGTCACAACACGGACCAAACAGTTGAGTGCGCTATCCTACGTCGCGCGTGTGAGGTGTAACTCTGGGAAGCAAGGAACAAAATCCTTGAGTTTGACAAAGGTGAGCTGACCAACGTGATTCACACCCTGACAATCCAGTGCGCAACTGCCCGCGCAAGTTGCGCAAGTCTGCGAAATTATGTTCAAAATGTTCTGCGCAACTTGCTCCGCACAAGCACTCTGCGCAAGTTGCGTTGCTCAAGTTGCCAGGCGCTCTCTGCGTGAGATGGTTTTTGCAAGCTGCTCTGCGCTAGCCTTCCGGGCAAGTGGCTCTCTGCTCAGCGCGCATTGCCAAGTGTCTCTGTGCAAGTGTCTTTGCGCAAGCGCTGCGCGCAAGCTGCTCTGCGCAGTGCGAATCTGGCTCTCCGTGCTCCGTGCAAGTTTCTTCTTGCGCAGGTTGCAATTTTAATGAATGTGATTCGTGCACTTCTCTTGTGCGGAAAAGTTGCGGTTCGACGAAGCTGCGAGAGTACGCTTCTGTGTGCTACTTCTGTGCTTTTCAAGCCGGAGCTGCGATTTCGTGGGCCCAGCGGAGATTGAGCCAGCGACTGCGCGATTGCAAAGTACCGGACAACTTCCACGGACCAGCTCGTTAAAACTCTCTTTTTTTTGACATCGACCACGCCGATCCCCACAAAGGGTTGATCTGCGGACCACACAATCGTAAAAAAAACCGTTTTTCAGCTGCCACGCCGATCTCTGCGCAAGGCGTGGGGGCGTGTCAAAAAGTTGACAAAGTCCGCAGGTTTTTTACATCGACCACGCCGGTGGGCCGCAGAATCGTCAGTTGTTCAAGCGCGCGGGTGAAAACGACATCAAGTCCCTCAGTTTTGCACATCGACCACGCCGATCCCCGCAGAGTGTCGAGCAGCCGCAGAACCCAAACATGTCCTCAGTTTTTTGACATCGACCACGCCAATCCTCGCAGAGTGTCGCAACCCCGTGCGGTAACAAATAGCACCCCGCCCGCCGCCCTTGCAAGAAGAATCTTTTTCCGAGCTCTCTCCTGCACTCTTTGAATGGAAATAAAGCCCATTTGCTTCGAACTCCGATTTTAAGGGGTTGCGTTTGCATTCGAAACACCCAAAGCCAGCAAACATTGGCTGGGGCTTCAAACCTATTCCGGTTGAGGATGGGGACCTCAAGCGGAAAGATTGACTGAGATCACCCAAACACAAAATTAGACACGTGATTGTGTTGACTAGAAGGCCCCTGGCTGAAAATCACACCCAGGTGTGTCCTACAAACCATGCGGGTCCCTGAGCGTGTTCGGAGGGCTGTTGGAATACGCATCAGCCTTTCGTGCACAGACCCACGCAACTCATTCCCAGACTACTCTCAGACTGCTCGCCTCTATGCAGCTGGCACTGTGCAAGGTACTCTGCGGAAGAAGCTCTGCGCAAAAGGCTCTGCGCAAGTTGCTCTGTGCAGGTATCTCTGTGCAAGTTGGTCTTTGCAAGTGATTTTATGCAAGTTGCCCTGTGCAAGTTGATCTGTGCAAATGGCTCTGACTCTACGCAAATGGCTCTGTGCAAGCTGATCTGCCCAAATGGCGCTGTGCAAAATAGCCCAAAGGACATGTCAATGTGCAAAGCATGAACAGGCAACCGCGCAGCAAACCAAGATGGTGCTGAGCACGTAATCTAAAACAACCAAATGTCTGGGACAACTCCGCGACTCTGGAACCGGACTGTTCGTTTCCAAGAACCTGTCGCGAAACCAAAGTGTTCGGTGTCCCACAAACGGATATTAAAACCGTAAGTAACCCTGCGAAACCCTCGCGAACTACTCCAGAGCTCCCCCAAGCCATCCCCAAACCTCATCTGGGCTGAGACCCCTTAGCTTTCAGCTGTTAGGGTAAAATGAAACTGCTACTCCCGAAACATGTTTGGACAACGCCACGGTTTCTTTTTGGAAAGACCCAGTCTTGTGGAAAATAAGACCATGTTGTCACTATCTTAAATTATGCGTACTGCTGCGTTTGGTTCACAATGCTACGCTAGTTTATGCTCCTATTGCATCGTCGTTGCCGCTTGAGAACATGATTGCCCAGAACCATTCACAAACAGGTCGTTTAATAACCCGATCGCACGTTTGGAGGCTCCCGACGTGTTCCGTTCTGGAACCAGTCCGGAGGGGCTCCAAGTAATCATTCTATTGTAATGCGTGCTGCTTCTAAAAACGCGACAATCTGCTTGAGTGGTTCAATGGTTTTGTGGATTATCCAAAAGGTAGTTTGACGTCCAGAATCTGGGGAAGCGCCAGCTTCCCTCTACTTGGTGGTTTGGTTTTTTTGAGGTTGGCAGTATATTCCCGGGTACCCTCAAGAACCAGGGGCTCAAATCCCACCAGTCCACACAAGCATTTTCTGGGCTGCCTGGAAGTGATCTTTTGGCAACCTGCAAGGCCACACTTGCTCCTGTAAAACGCCGGGCGGCATTTGTCCTGGGGTTTTTAGCCACTCCAGATCGGCTGAGGTAAAGGGACATTGCCCGCAAACCAACTTTGCCATTTCGGGGATCCAAATCCCAAACTGTCCAAGCTATGGGAGCCAGATCCCGATTTTGTCTCAAAATAGCTCGCCAGAATCCATTTTGTGTATGTTGCCCTTCGCAACCCCCCCAGGTAAGGGGGTCGACACCTTTCAAGAAAGTCGTAGGAGGTTTGCCGTTGGCTTCCCCCGAAATGCTCACTTCCTAAGTTGATGCTTCAAAAAAAAGTAACCCAAGTGTTTGCTTGCCACTACATGGTCCAAACCCAAAAAGAGACTCAAGCTCAAGAACTCAGGACGTGAGTCTCACGCCCCTCCAGGTACCTTCATCTACCGGGTTTGGAGGACGCGGCTCAAGTCATCTACTGTAAAGGCCCTAAATCATTTGAACGGGGTTGGAGTTGAAGTCCAAAGGTCCAGCCAAATAGCCCTAAAGAAAGGAGGCTCCAGATGCCTTTCCCCGCCGCCTTGCCCGATCCGATCTCCGCGAGAGCGGGGCTCCGGGGCTCCGGGGCTCCCGGCCGCCCGCTGCGCCGCTCGACCGCGAGGCCCCGCTTCAGCGCCAGCACGTAGCCCCCGAAGTCGCTCAGCGCCTGAGCCAAGCGAGTGGGTCGCTGGGCCCCGAAGCCACCTGCGGGGCAGGGCGGGGGGGGGGGGGGGCTGGATCCCCAAAACCGGCATACCGCGGCATACCATGATTGAAGCAAAGACTGATAAATTAGTGTTCTGTTGGAAACAATGATCATGATCAATTGAGAAATGGGGTTGGAAAGGACACCAAATAATATGTGTTTGCCTTGGAAGAGGTGGCAACAAGCTTCTTTTTGCATATGGTTTGGGGGGCCCTGGTATATTGGTTGACGAATTGGAACTATTGGCATGACAAAGTTGGCGGGCGGTCACGGGGGTCAAAACTTGGTTCGCCGAAAAGTTGGCACGCAATTTGGTGTGACAAACATTGGTATGGCCAAACATGGTGTGTGCCACCAAATTGGGAACCATAAATTGAACCCTCCCCCCCGGCCCACAACCATGAAAAAAGAAAGTTGTTGCCGCCCGCCAGGTTTTGCAAGGCATTCTGAAGTTAGGAATATAGGGATCCCTGAAAGGAAACGAAGAGGGATGGTTCAGTTTGGGTTCATTCCTTCATTCTCTACTGAGGACCAGCCAGTGTTCGCCTGGGACCAAACAAAATTGAAATGGGCGGAAGAACAAAGGAACAGGTTCATGCAGGTTCACACTGGTTGCAAAGGGACCCAGGCTTGATTGCTTCAACAAAATTCGCGTTGGCAACCCCCAAGGTTCCATTCCAAACCCAATAATTGTCCCTCTTTCTCAGCTCCTTTGGTGGTTTTGACACCTACCCGGGCTCCAAACCACCGCAGGGGCCCCGGTTTTTCGGCGCCGAGAAGGAGGCGCCTCCGGCAGCGACTCCTCGGCTTTGAGCAGCGACTCGATCCAGCGGCTGTCCAGGTGGTCCCAGTTGATGGTCACAGGCAACGACCTCAGTCTGAGGCTTTTCCCCTTCTGGGGGGCTGATTCGTTGGCTGTGGGTCAAACATAGCAACCCCACTTCGGTTGCCCTGGAGTCTGAGGGAAAAGTCACCCAGCTCACGTTCCCTTGCGGGTGAACCATCTGACACTTTGGGACTCCTGCGTCTCAATGATAGCCCTGTTTCTGGGGCTGACATGGCTGTGGGTCAAAACCATTGTTTTCATTTTGTGGTGTGTTTTGGGAAGTTCCCTTTTCCTTGTTTCTTTGGCGGTTTCGTTGGCCTAAGCGCCGTGAGACAACCAATAGTCCGTTCTGCCTTTCACAATGAGTCATTCGGTCGCCCTATAGGCTCCCGAGTGATTCGGAGCATGTTCAAATGGCTGTGGGTCAAAAATAGAAACCCCAAATGGGTTGCCTTGGCAAATGGAAAGGACTAAAACCTGCGGTCCAATTCCTGGTGGCTGAATTTTGACCCATACACACATGTTAACAGTTTCTCAGTGCGTTGGCTGAACTTTCTTGTTGCTTGCCACTAACCGTCTTCCCAACAAATCTGAGGCTCAACTCTGGAATTCAGGCAAGGTTTACGCTGTTCCAAAAGCTGAAGTAAGCGAAGCCCTCATTTCTCACACAGGTTTTCCCTCATTTCTCACAAGTTCACTCATTTCTCACAAACGCAAGGCTTGGATATGCTCGCACAGCATTGTTGATCTTGCTTTTTTGGCGGCTTGTGGCCGATATTTTTTGTGCCCCCCTTGCAATGGTCGGCGACCCCTATGAAAGCAGCCCCCTGAACCTCAAGTGGAAAGTAGTCAGACAAAGCAAGATGGGCACATCGATTTGTCTTCAAACCGGTGAAGGCCCTGTTTTGGGGCCTGGTTAACAGCCTTCGAACACACACACCTTCCTTTTTTCCAAACCCATCTGACAAAGGGTTGGGCGCCCGCCAAAAAAGGGCTGCTTCGAACTCTGGAGCCTATCTGCACAAAGACCCTAGCGAAGACCCCATAGTCTTCAGCTGCTGGGGATGGTTCCCCCATTTTTGCTTCTTGCTTTTTCAGGGAACCGGCGATGGGGAAAACCTCGCGCCTTCGAATTGAACCAAAACGAGCCGAAACGCTCCCGTCTTTTTTGGCGCCCGGCAAGAGGTCCGCCTTCAGCTCCCGGGTCTTCTCCTGGGAAAGTTTGAGAGGAAGCAGGAAACATTAGATGACAAGGGCAGAACAATATCCAGAATCCAAGCAAAGCGAGATATTTTGGAGCCATGCGCCTGTTATACTGATGAATGTTTGAGCTATGTGCCTATTTAACTGCAAAACTTTTGGGGATTGGCGTGGGCTAGCGCCGCTTCGGAATTGGGCAACGAGGGCCGCTGTTTCCAGCCCCCAACTTGAACCAGCGGGTCCGACCGGAATGCCACCTCTCAGCCTTGGCCAGGGCGGCATCTACATGGAGCCGAGGCTGCGGGTTACCATGAGGGAACCTTCGTCTTCTTTTGTTTGAGGATACCTCTTTGGGACTGGTTTTGAACGCAAGCCGAGAGGACAACCCACCATCCTTTTCTGGGGAGATTGGTTTTAAAGGGACACCCATAGGAAAACCCAGCATCTTTTTCTAAGGTGATTGGTTTTAAAGGGACACCCATGGGAAAACCCAGCATCTTTTTCTGGGGTGATTCATTTTAAAGGAACACACATAGGAAAATCCAGCATCTTTTTCTGGGGTCACTGATTTTAAAGGGACCCCCATAGGAAAACCCAGCATCTTTTTCTGCGGTGACTGATTGTAAAAGGACACCCATAGGAAAACCCAGCATCTTTTTCTGGGGTCACTGATTTTACAGGGACACCCATAGGAAAACCCAGCATCTTTTTCTGCGGTGACTGATTTTAAAGGGACACCCATAGGAAAACCCAGCATCTTTTTCTGGGGTCACTGATTTTAAAGGGACACTCATAGGAACACCCAGCATCTTTTTCTGGGGTGATTGATGTTAAAGGGACACCCATGGGAAAACCCGGCATCTTTTTCTGGGGTCACTAATTTTAAAGGGCCACCCATAGGAAAACCCAGCATCTTTTTCTGGGGTCACTGATTTTAAAGGGACCCCCACAGGAAAACCCAGCATCTTTTTCTGCGGTGACTGATTGTAAAAGGACACCCATAGGACAACCCAGCATCTTTTTCTGCGGTGACTGATTTTAAAGGGACACCCATAGGAACACCCAGCATCTTTTTCTGGGGTCACTGATTTTAAAGGGACACCCATAGGAAAACCCAGCATCTTTTTCTGCGGTGACTGATTTTAAAGGGACACCCATAGGAAAACCCAGCATCTTTTTCTGGGGTGATTGATGTTAAAGGGACACCCATGGGAAAATTCAGCATCTTTTTCTGCGGTGACTGATTTTAAAGGGACACCCATAGGAAAACCCAGCATCTCTTTCTGGGGTCACTGATTTTAAAGGGACACCCATAGGAAAACCCAGCATCTTTTTTCTGCGGTGACTGCTTTTAAAATGACACCCATAGGAAAGCCCAGCATCTTTTTCTGGGGTGATTGATTGTAAAAGGACACCCATAGGAAAACCCAGCATCTTTTTCTGGGGTGACTGATTTTAAAGGGACACCCATAGGAAAACCCAGCATCTCTTTCTGCGGTGACTGATTTTAAAAGGACACCCATAGGAAAACCCAGCATCTTTTCTGGGGTGATTTATTTTGAAGGGACACCCACAGGAAAACCCAGCATCTTTTTCTGGGGTGATTGATTTTAAAGGGACACCCATAGGAAAACCCAGCATCTTTTTCTAAGGTGATTGGTTTTAAAGGGACACCCATAGGAACACCCAGCATCTTTTTCTGGGGTCACTGATTTTAAAGGGACACCCATAGGAAAACCCAGCATCTTTTTCTGCGGTGACTGATTTTAAAGGGACACCCATAGGAAAACCCAGCATCTTTTTCTGGGGTCACTGATTGTAAAGGAACACTCATAGGAACACCCAGCATCTTTTTCTGGGGTGATTGATGTTAAAGGGACCCCATGGGAAAATTCAGCATCTTTTTCTGCGATGACTGATTTTAAAGGGACACCCATAGGAAAACCCAGCATCTTTTCCTGGGGTGATTGATTTTAAAGGGACACCCACAGGAAAACCCAGCATCTTTTTCTGGGGTGATTGATTTTAAAGGGACACCCATAGGGAAACCCAGCATCTTTTTCTAAGGTGATTGGTTTTAAAGGGACACCCATGGGAAAACCCAGCATCTTTTTCCGGGGTGGTTGGTTTTAAAGGGAAACCGAGGGAGGGGGGGAGCCTCCCGGATTTTGAGAACTCCATGAGTCGTGCCCGAAACCGACCCCAAGACTTCCGCTCCAAGTCGAAGCGGGAGAGGGGCGTGAAGCCCGCCAGCGAGGCGGCCCGCAGGAACTCCCTCGCAAAGTGCTCTTCCTTCAGCGCCGAATCCCCCAGTTTTTGCTCTTTTTTTTTTCCGTTGGCTGCCAAGGAATGAGTAATGGACATCAGATAGGAATTACCTGGTTATTAATGAAGATGCAGCTACCACTATAGGCAACCAGGTTCGAAATACCAGGCAAGCCTTCATGTACCTAGTAACGGGAGCACTGGGCCACTTTGGGGAGAGTGGCAGGGGAGCAACCCCAAACATGCCAGGCCCATGTAAAGCGCATCTCCGCCTCTTCAGGATATGGGCTGTTGTGCAAAAACATGGTTGCCATGTAGAGGGATGCTAGAATGGAAGTAGCGCGAAAACTATAGCGCGGGCAACCCTAAGAAGGCATTCAAAGCCTGAATGGCATGGGTTGTCTACCAACTGTTCTGGGGTCTTGGGGGAGCAGCGTGGTGGGTCTTATTGTAGCTTTAAAACCAGCCCAAAAGGCTACCCTCAAAAAATGGCTCCACGCCCACGTCTCTCCTTAAAACCGGCTTCTGCCAGTTGGAAGGGGAGCAGAGTTACAAGTGAGGACAACCTCCCAACTGAGCGAGGGTTGCCAACCGGTGGGGAAACATCCGGCCTGCGCTCTCGGACTCTCGGATTCAAATCGAACCCCTCGGATTCGCAGCGTGCATTCTTGGAATCGGGCACCCCCATACTAATCATCACGGTGAACAAAAATAAAGGTCCCTTTCCATTCAAGGAAAATGGGATGAACAAATACATCTCACCAACCTTACCCAAGGAGCGCGCCAGAAATGAGTGTAGAAACGATCAGTCAAGTGCTGTCTCCAAGCTGACTTTAGCCCAAAGTCACCTTCACTGAAACCCATTGACTGTAGATTCAGAAACCCCTCGTTTTGCTCCCCTTTAGTGGGGCTTGATGACTTTTGGAGGGGAACACCGGAACACCCTGTTGTTGATAACCCCAATCCATGCATTCCGCCCCACACCTGTTGGGCTTAGGGTAGCCCTCCAAAGTCCCAAACCACTGGCCCCTCACAGAATTGCGGCCACGCCCCATGACCGTTGGGCAGATCACATTGCATTTCAAAAGGAGGGGGGTTCAACTGTCCGACGCGCCGGGATCATCACTGTACACGCACGACACGTCGCCGCTCGCCTTGTCTGGCAGGGGCCAAGCGCCCACCCAGCGCCTTCTGGCCGGATCGAAGGGCTGGTAGGCGTCCTCAAAGAAACGCGGAGAAGCTCAGCAGCTTTTGTTTGGCTCCCCTTCACCCAACTGACTCCAAAACAAAGCAAAAAAACAAAAGGCTAGGGCCCCATGTGTAAGAGGTCATGGAACCTCCAGGACCGAAAATGGCTCCCCTCCAAAACTAACAGAACTGAACAAATGCCAATTGAAACGGCTTTCAGAGTTGGCAGCGCGCAGATGTAGAAGCAATCTCTTATGTAACTCGCTTGTGTAGCTCGCTCAAGCAATGTCTCATGCAACTCGCTAGTGCAACTTGCTCTGCAACCCTCTGGTGTATCATTATCATGTAGCTTGCTCTAGCGACCTCCGAAGTAACTGGCTGGTGCAACTTGCTCAGTGTAACTTGCTTTGCAAACCTCTCGTGTATCATCATTGTGTAACCTGCTTGTGACTTGCCCAAGAAATCTCTCATGTAACCTGCTTGTACAACTCGCTCAAGCAATCTCTCATGTAACTCGCTAGTGTAACTCGCTCCAATCTCTCATGCAATTCGCTAGTGCAACTTGCTCTGCAACCCTCTGGTGTATCTTTCCGATGTAGCTCGCTGGTGTAACTTGCTCAGCGTAACTGTACTTGCTTGCGCAATTGGCACCAGTTTTTCCGGAAGAACCCTTCGCAATGCGTTCGGGAAAAATAAACCTTCCGGGGAAATATGTTCAGATATATACATATACACACATGATATACACAAAAAGAGGGTGGGTCCTGGTAACATAGCAAGCAAACAAACAACCGGAGGAATACCGTAATTACACTATTGGAAATTATTCAGCCACGTCTCTCTTTTGTTTGGTTGCTTGTCTTTTCATGTGTGTGTGTTTGTTGGTTAAACTTGTTTTCGTGGGGGGGAGGTTGGCTGAAAACGAAGCCAGAAGGAAGCCAACCAATTTCAGCAAACTGCCAAAAGTTCGCAGGGGGTTGGCTTCCTTTCGTAAAGGGAACTGTCCAATGTGCAAAGGAAACCACAAGGAAACCCGAAAAAACAAAAAACAGGGAAACCCACGAAAAAAACACAGGGAGCCAAACAACAACAAACAACTTCGCAGGGTCCAGCTCCAATTTTTAGACAAACCCAGTTTAATCCCAGCCGCACGGAGGCTCATCCGCAGAGGCCGCAGCTCCGCATGCACGCGCTCTTGCAGTGCTGAGCCTGCCAGCGCGAATGGGTCGCCGGAAAACCCCCAAAAGGAAACTAAACACCTGGAGTGGTCCAATTTTTCTAGGGGTACCTTCCCCATTCTTTCTAGGGATCCTTCTTTCTAGAAAACCTCCAGAATCATAGGGAAAACGGCTGGTTTTTGAAAAGAACGATGGTTGAAAAGAATGGGGAATCAAGCTATGAGAAACACCCACAAAAGGCAGGGGTCCATCAAAATTTCATGAGAAACAACCATTTGAGCCTCCGGAAACCAATTGAATTGGACACCCTACCATGTTGCAACACGCTCATCTTTTCCCTATGGGTATGTGAGGGGTGCCCTTTGGTGGGAATGGTGTAAAGGGAAACTAAGAGGAGTACCGTATCCATGTTGGGGTGTCAAGTCCTTATTCTGACACATACAGTCCCCATCGCTTCCAGTGGATTGGCCAACGGTTTTCCCAAGCGGTACGCAGTCCAACTTGGACACGTGTAAGATATCCACCTGAACGTGGCTCCCAAACTGGTGACTTCCTCGTCTTGTTTGAGAAGCTGACGGAAGAAGCTTTCATCCAGCTGTAGTGTTGACTTCAAAGGATCAAATCATACGTTATAAAGCATGCGCCACTGTTTGTCCTGCTTAGCTTGTGTCTTGTCTGTGCGGCAAAGTCCTGACGTCAGATATGTTGCGAGCCACAGTTTGGCCGCAAAGAACGGGACATACTAAGGCACAAACAAGGCGTAGGTTAGACACACCAAGCTCACCGCAACGTATGCCGGGCGCTTCTCACTAGACACAAGCATGACTCATGGACCTCCGCACCAGGGGCGGGGGAGAGACTGGGAATAAGCCCTTGACGCCTTAAGGCCAGGGATTTGATTCTAGGTCCAGTAGAGAGCTTAGAATAAGTGGGTACCCGACTAATTTGCTGTCTATTTTAGTAGGGGAACCCTCCCCAAAAAAAGAAACGGTAAAAGGGCACTGGGGGACCTAGGATTGGTAGCCACCCCCTTTGGTCCATGACCAGTGGCTGTCTAACAAGTTCGCATAGCCAGGGTCACTTCTTTTTCTGCGAGTGAGCTCCATGTCGCTGCCAAGTTGACCAGAGAGTGGAGCTGTTTGTGGGTTTGTCTCCAAGTGATGAGTCCAAAATCGTAATTCATTGTCAGTTTCCCTGGTCCAACGGGAACCACACCTATTCCCTTCCTGGTCCAAACTTGCCAGGACATGAGACAACTTGAGAGTCCGCTGTATGTTTGTTGTGCGGGAAAGGAGGGGAGTCTCCAATGGAGCATCGGACCAATGGACTGAACATTTTGACCAAACCTCACATTGGTATGGGTCAAAAT